TTTCAAAAATAATCCAGGCGAGTTCAACTATTTTACTGGATGATTTTTTTTACTTAACATGTATATGTTTTCCGGTTCCTTTTGCTATATATTTGTAAGTGTCCCTAGGCTAAATGCAGTAACTCCTTATGGAATGTTTATAACACATCATATTCCTGCCTGAAGTTTCACAAGCAGTCTAAACTTTAAAATTATTTTCTGGTCATGTTCCTTATTTTTAAATCGTCATATACGTCAACAACCTGCATGTTAACCTGGCCCATACATACGTCACACGATATCTCCATGTCTTCTAAATTTAGAAATCATCTGGATCGCCTTTAACATTTATCAATAAACCCATCATAGTCGTTGTTGCTAATCGTATGGTTTATCATATTAGCAGCCTAAAATGCGAACATAGTTTAGATAATAAGATTAAAAATTTAGGTACTATCAACTGCACTAGTGAAATAACTAAATCCCCAAGTAGCTGTTGGCTAAACAAACGTTTAAAAGCAAAACTCCGTAGCCTACTAGAATTAACACTAAACGAATATTTCTGAATTAAAATTTATAATTAAATTAGGCGTCTCGGATTCTTTCTGATAACTTCGAATCACCTAAAGCAACAATACTATTTTTCCACTGACTAATCCTCAATCAACACTATAACTAGCTAAACGTAATAGTTTCAAGATATCGTCATAAAGCATTGTCATAACTTGACAATCACGTAATATGACTGATAAAATTAATGAAACTATTAACGAAATCGGTCAACAAATTGACTTATAATTACCATTATATGGTGTTGTTTTCTTGGTATCTTCATCCATCACAGATGATTACAGTATGTTTCTCTCTCAGTTGCTCATTCAGTAAATATCTCAAAACCTTGTCAGTCTAATTGATGGTTTAGCGACACAATCATGCATGCAAAAAAATCAGTATAAGCAGTCGAGCAAATCTCCTGCAAACTGAAAACATCAATGTCGAATTTACCCCAACACTGACTAAGGTTCAAGCCATTATCATAGACATGAGTTGGGAGTGTACTCCCCCTGGTAACAACTTATGTTCTCCCTGATAATCACATGAGCATCACTCACTATTAATCATCTTGTAAAAACTTATTTAGCTAAATATATTTTGCAGCACCACATCACTTCGTAATATGACACATAGGCTTAACTGATTTTAATAACTTGTAACCACTATATCTCAATTGAATCGTATTCCGCCTTATGATAAACTGCATACTTGCAACTAACTTGTATGCCCAATCAGCCGGCAAGTATAAATACAAATAAATAGTCTGCCACAGATCAGAACATTGAGTCTAGAGCATGTCTCTTACGAATACGCTCATGTTTAACGATTTGTTCCTAGCTATCTGTCCCAAATTCATATAATCATCACTCACGTATTTAAATTTTATTTTGATAACCATTCATGTGTATTAGTAGTATTACCAAATTCTATCACGGTCAAGTAAAAATGAGGTTGAGAAAATCTCCCCGTAACTAAATAAACCGTATCAAACTAACTGGAACACTAGTTGGAATTCTTTACCATGGTAATACTTTTGTTCCTTCAGTTAGCCTACTGATACAGATGCAATTGGAAATCAACTCTTATGGACAACTTACCGGCATAATCGTTATCCGATTTCATAATTTAAACCAAAACTAATACCAATATTAACATTTCTACAATATTCATTATTTTAATATTTCTAAACACAAAATAATTACTACATAAAGTTAAGTTATTAACACGCATCGTTTTATTATTATTATTATTATTATCTCATTTTTTTATAGTTCAAATAATCTTCACCCAAATTTTCATTTCAAGCGTTTTAAGCATGAAGGCAGATATTTTAAAATTATTACATGTATTTCCCGACCAGATGCTGCCGCCTTCTTTTTGATTTATCTTTCAGCTTATCAATACCGGGAGGATCCTTATTATCCTTGGTAACCTTCGGCGCACGACGATCCCATCCAATTTGGTATCGAACCAACATCACGTTGATTCTGGTGGGAGAGTAGTGTAGTGGCATTGGACAATAGCCACACAATCCACAAAGCTGTGAACACGAGACTACTCAGAAAATAGATATTCAATATTTAACGCGGAGAAATACCTAACAATGGAGAAGGCGCGGGGAATGAATGGAATGGACTGGAGTTGATCGAGTGGCATGGCTCGGCCATGCAGGCGTGGTCTCTATTCATATTAAATATATTGTTCCTTCTCTAAACTAACCTTGTTCTTCATCATGTATTGGTAATTGATACGATACAGTGAGTTGGCGTAGTTGATGGTGTGACTTCCACGTAAGATCTTATAGATTAGGCAGTTATATCATGACGAATCTACAAATTTAGGATTAGGTCTATTATTAGAGCAGTACTAATATCATATTAGACCATAGTTCTACAAGTACAACGATTGTCTACTGGAGGGAATATTACGCTCTATTCGTATTTAATATATTATTATCCAAATTCTAGAAGACCTAAATCTTCCTAAAGTCAACTTTACTGAAAACACGAACAAATCTACTAAAGCTCAGTTCTTCAATCTTACTGAAGATCTGAGATTCTTCGAAAATGTTAAGTTGATAAGTCGCTGGAGAAATATTCAAACGCCGTCACGATTAGATGCATATTTACGAAGAACTCCACACGTTCTTATGTGTTACAAATAAATCTGTCCAGCAAGCGGTCTCCAAAATATACAAGAAACTTACAGTCATAAATAACTCCACTTTTTGAATGCTAAAACGCAAACGTCACTAATGGGAGGAATATGAAGGAACTAGAGACAACAGCTTTTATAGACAGTTCAAACAATCTGGGGACCAACGTACAAGAGTAATAAGAGAGACAATTGATCAATTCATTTCCAATCCGAAAAGCTTTTTTTGTCATGCAGTTTCTCTTTGAGAGGTTAAAACTGGTGTTTCCCAATTATTATGTATCAACAACGACATTGACGACACTGAAATTTTCGTAGAACAATACAGTACAGACATTTCAGCAGTTTCATACTAATTATATCATCGAGAGATACTTTTGCAACTCAATAGGACTCTCGGAAGTGAATCTAAACCGCCAATTGGTGTATCAGAAACTGCAGTATATAGACATGGACACTTCTGGCCTTTATGCTGTCCATTCTGCTAAGCTCAGGGAAACAGCTTCAATCTTGGAAATACCGTTCACATTCGATAAGCCGAGACACAAAACTCGAAAATTAGAAACTGGCTCATATTACACAAATTTTCAAAGGAGGCATACTCAGTGAACCTTCTAGCTACAGGCCAGTAAAACTTCTCTCAATATCTCAAAACTCATGGAGTCTCTGATGTATGACGATTCGCGTGACTAAGTGTTCTCTATAAACTGCTTTTATCCAAACAACACAGTTTCAGGAAGAGCCACTCCAGTTAACCAAGCCACTGAAGGTGGTGCATATATGAACAACCACCATTGATCTCAAGGAAATGTATAATGTCATATATATTGAATTTGGAGACTGTCAATAATATGTATCTCATAAGTATTCTTGAACGATAACACAATGGTTTACTTCATACATGAATAATCGGCTTTGTAAAGTCGGGGTAAACTACACTTCTTGTCAGGCTACTGAATTTTCTAGCGTGGTCCCTCAGGGTTCACCACAAGAACCTCTTCTTTTCCTAATCTTTTTAAACAGCCATCCTCAGTAGATATCATGTAACCTATTACTTTTTTCTGTTGATATGAAATTCTGGAGAGACGTTTGCAACTAAGATAATAGGTTGACAATTCAGGATGATCTGACTCGATAATAAAGTCCGGTGAATAACCCTAAGCGCTTCAGAATGTAAGGTAGTCCATATGAGATATTTTGAAAACTACACATATAATTAAGGTAACTCCCCTTTTGGGGTGTCTCAAGTTGAAAAAGATCTAGGAGTTTTGACATCTTATAGTTTGCATTCTTACGCCAACTGTGACAAAAATGCTTCCCAAGAGAACGTAGCACTTGTAACATTGAAGGTCATTTTTGGCCAGTTTGACAGGAAAACCTTCTGCACAATCTCCGACAATTTTGTTTCACCTCATTCAGAGTATGGAAATATACTATTTCCTCCTCACAACGGAAGCATAAGGATACATTGGATTTTATGCAACGGTTAGCTGGAAATCAGTTCGGGGACTCAGATTTAAGCCGTATGAAGAGCGTGTGAGATCAATGAGCCTTCATGCCCCATAGTGTAGGCGTGTTAGAAGTAACCATATAATGACTTACAGCATCCTGAATAGAAATTTTTTAGGTCGTGATTCCAGTACAATTTGAACAATAATGGTGTATTCAGTTTTCTAATAAGTGGTCTATAGGTCCAAATACGTAATCTAATCCAAAGTAATATATGCCAGAGACAAATCAGTGATGATCACAATTGATTGATCACTGGGTGGTGATCATTGTCATATATGTCAAGTCCATCCTAGTTGAGATCGAATGCTATCGACCAAGTTGCAATGTGATCACTAGTCTAGGAGACTCGACATTGCGTGGATTATGTTGAAATTAGATGGTGGTTGGAGGTAGTCATCAGGAAACCCTGGACCAGAGTTTCATGTTACTCGGCACTCAGATATCCTAGTGGTAAAATCCCGGACTGTGAAGCTGGGTGACACGGGATCGAATCCATCGAGGAGCATCACTTCTCTCAGGATAACAGGTAAACCTTGCTGACGATTGCCAAGTAGCGTGAAACCCTAGTCCAGGGTTTCCTGTTGACTACCTCAAATCACGACAAATCAGTAATGAGGATATAGATGTGGTCTACAAACGTATATGGTAATTATGTTAACGACCTGTTCATGAGACAGAGGAGTAACTGAGGAGTTTGTGGGAAGAATTCTACTTGTGGGCGATAATCAATTTATCTTGTAAGTGGAAATGAAAAGGAAAGCTCATGGTCAAACTAGCACAACAACTATGTGGTAAATTTCAGTAATTGTACAAACAAGTGAAAATACGAAAAATGTGAGTGATGAAAAGAGTTATTATCGAAAGAAGTTCATGCTAGTCACTTCCTCTACAATACCGAGTTCCCTCAACCGTTTACACCAACTCGTTACAGTGCCATTTGATATTGGTACCATAATCAAATAAGGCGTTACATAAAGCTGGCAGGTGAAAATTGCGATTCTTTTCTGTACTTATCGACGAAAGTAACGGTTTTCGAACCACTTGACACACTTAATAGTGTTTACTTTGACGATGCTCGTAAACATGTAACTCTGATTTTATCATGTAAATGTTTGTAGATATTTACTCTCAGGAGTCGTGGTACGATGGGTGTCAATGTCAAATCTGTTGTTGATGATTTGGTTTTGAATTTTCGGTAAGTTATATTCTATTCGAAAGGATTTCGCTCATAACTGATTGACCGGAAATCTTAAGTAATCCCGTTGTGGAGACCTTCAAGTCGTCCTTCCCTAAATTTCTATATTCAACTGTAATTAACAGTAGTTCTAAACGAAAGTATGCGTTTGAGCTTACTTCAACAATGAGCTTAAATTTTTACTCATTTTATTGAGTTATGTAACTGCTCCACCCTAGCATTCAGTTTTTCCTGGGTTGATGTGTTCACATATATATCTATGGTCATCCTTTACTTTATTTTGTTTCTGCCAAATCATATCCTTGTGTTGAATTTTTCACAACACTGAGGGAAGTTAAGAGGTTGGCCAAGGACGTGAATCGAGAAATTGTAGGAGCACGATCATGCGCGACCTTTGCCAACGTTACATACAGTTAAATTTCCGGTATCAGTTCTATTTCATGTATTTATGTGAATATTGAGCTCGGTGGCTCCGAAACACTCACTTAGATTCTGAGTTTCAATACTTCGTGCTTTTACCTTGTGAGTTCGTTTGCCGAATTATAATCTCCATTTCATCTTTTTTTGCACTATCACTGATAATGCTACTTCTGCTGCATTAATACCTTATTAATTTCACGGCGAGACTCTAATTTAAGGACGACCTTTGAACGAATCTTAAGTAACCTTGACAATTATTAGCCAATCAGAAGAAAGTTAGTATAAAGTGAAAATATATTATATGAAAGTAATGAATTACAGTGGATATTCTTCTTTTACATGATTTAAAAACTTGTTAAGGTTTGATTAAGGTTCAGAGGTTCTGAATTCACAATGCATATGGAATAGAAACTCGTCTATTGGGTTAGAGTTAGGTTTACGGGTAAGGTTAGGGTTAGTTGAGGGTTAAGGTTTAGGGTTAGGTGAAGGTTTACGGTTAAGGTTAGAGTTTAGGGTTAGTTGAGGGTTTGGGGTTAGGGTAATTTAGGGTTGGGGTTAGGTGAGGGTTTAGGGTTAAGTTAGGGTTAAGGTTTAGGGTTAGTTGAGGGTTAAGGTTTAGGGTTAGGGTTAGGTGAGGGTTTAGGGTTAAGGGTTAGGGTTAGTTGAGGGTTAAGGGTTAGGGTTAGGTGAGGGTTTAGGGTTAAGTTAGGGTTAAGGTTTAGGGTTAGTTGAGGGTTAAGGTTTAGGGTTAGGGTTAGGTGAGGGTTTAGGGTTAAGGTTAAGGGTTAGGGTTAGTTGAGGGTTAAGGTTTAGGGTTAGGGTTAGGTGAGGGTTTAGGGTTAAGGTTAAGGGTTAGGGTTAGTTGAGGGTTAAGATTTAGGGTTAGGGTTAGGTGAGGGTTTATGGTTAAGGTTAGGGTTTAGGGTTAGAGTTAGGTGAGGGTTAGGATGCTAACATACGAGTTTTTAAATCATGTCAAAGAAGAATATCCACTGTAGTTTTTACTTTATGCTGTCTTCTGATTGACTAATAATTGAAATCGCTCAAACGCTTCTGATTGGCCCGTCCCCAAATTAGAGTCTCGCCCGTGTTAAACTTGGCTCCGTGACCTTGAACTTGCCCAAACGCTTCTGATTGGCTCGTCCCTAAATTAGAGTCTCGCCGATTTCACCTCGCTCGGCTTATGGAGTATTTGACTTTCGCTAGTGCATATTTATTCCGGGTTCTAGATTGCTTATGACTTGATGGGTAGTTTTATACCATTTCCACCCTGACCAACAGCAGTCGATTTGTGTTCTGGTCTCTATTTCCATCTAACAAACTTGAGTCTATTTTAATTTTCTTGGTTTTCCCTATGGAAAATAGTTCTGAGTGTATTATAAAAGTGTGCAAAGTTTCTAAGCTTTCTAAGTAATAACTGATTTGTCTACCGTCTAATTTGCTACGGTTAAAAATATCTGAACATTGAATTTTTCCGGTATTAGTGTTACAAATTATTGTAAAAAATAGATTGGGGGACAACACTACATTAGTCACTGCACAACTTAGCTATTTTTTGTGTGTATGAAAAAATATCCTGCATTTGTCTATCCACGATGTCTTTTAGCCATATCGTCCTTGCTGTATCTTTAGATAATTTCGTTTATTTTTATTTTTATGGTTTTTCGTATCACAGCATAGACGATCAAGGCGAAGTTTTGAGTATTAAGTTTTCTGAGGATAACAAAATCTTGGGAATTCAGCGGACTCACCGATCAGTTGACTTTTTAAATTTTCAAGCCAATTGCCCCAGGGGTGTACAGTATTCTCAAGAATGCAAGGTTACCTTATTTCTTATAGTAACTTCTCACGTTTTCGTGTGTAGAATAAATCAGCAACACTTCTGGGATTTGTGTGGTGTTCCAACTATGAGGTCCTTTTTGTCACAAACGAACAACTGGAGTTATATCAAGTAATTTTACTTTTTTAACGTCCGATAAACGTTTGCTTTGTGTAACCTAGTTTCACTTTCCCTGAGATTAGTCCCAAGTATGAGCTGACAGTTAGTGGAAACTATTTACAGAGAATTGTAACAGGTATCTAGGTTTAGAAACGGCTATATTAAGTAGTGTTATCGTTATTTTAAGGTTTCGGAAAATGTTACTATATTTTTAAAATAAATCGATGAATCGTTATTTATGTTCGTCTGCTGATTTTGGACGAACCGTATGCCAGAATTCTGATTTTTCGGATTTTCATTTATTTATTTAAACATAACTATTGATACAAAGGGGCGTCAAATCCATATGCACCACACAATAACAATGAGGCTGTGAAGAGAGAGAATCTATGGTGCGTACAGGAAAAACGAGAACACCAACGAACAGAAATTAATGTATGATAGCGAAACAATAATGGTGATAATAGGAGAAGTAGTTCAGTTAGCAAAAATACAACCGAGAAGAATTCTTTCAGTTTAAGGTGCGATCACTTCATGGAGAAAGTAAAGGAAGGTTACAGCAGGATCATCACTGGCTTCTGTTCTGAGCCATATCTGATAACATATCAAACCATTGTGCTGCTCAATCTCTAGAACCCCAACTAGGGAGTCGTGAGGGTCCGACAGAAGCCAGTTTTGTACAGCTTTCTTTCATGCCACGACACCATGTCATGCACTGACCACCTCTTCGCTTTTTCCAACCAGTCCCAGAGTCGGCAAATAGCGCATGACGGAATTCTTTGGGACACCATTCTTAGAACATGTTTATTTATTTATTTGAACACATAAATATTGGTACAAGAGAGCGCCTTTATATATGTGCCACACAAAACAATGAGAATTCGAAAAGAAAGAAAAAAAGGTAAGGAGCGTGAAAAAAAGAGGACAATAACGAAGAGATTGATGTAAGGTAGTGTAGTAATAATGAGGGAACGGAAAGATACAATCAGAAGAAATCTTTCAGGTAAGGGAGACACAACCACTTTTTATGAAGAAAGTAAAAAATTACATCAGGATCTCCACTGGCTTCTATTCTGAGCCATATCTGATAACGTCTCTAGCCACTGAGTTGCACCATCTCTCGGACCCCAACCAGGGAGTCGTGAAGGACCGACAGAAGCCAGTCCTTTGCAGCTTTCTTTCATGCCACGACACCATGTCGTGCACTGACCACCTCTTCGCTTTTTCCAACCAGTCCTAGAGTCGGCAAATAATGCACGACGTGGAATTCTCTAGGACGACATTCGGAGAACATGTCCAAGCCACCGACGTCGGTGTTTCAAGATGGTGACACCAATTGAATTATCATCTCTGTGCCCGAACACACGATGCCGAACCTCTGCATTACTGACATGGTGTTGCCACTGGATGTCAGCAATCCTTCGGAGACAGCGATGAGTCTTCTAACATCCTCAACTCGGAGAGGCCAGGTTTCACAAGCATAGAGCAAAACTGCTCTCACCGACGCGTTGTAGATCCGACCTTTCACAGCCAGACTGATATCACGAAAGTGCCAATAGTGGCCCAGATTGGCATAAGCCGCTCTGGCTTTCACTATACGTGCATTGATCTCATCACTCATGCCACCACCAACAATTGTGCAGCTACCTAGATACACGAACTTCTCGACTACTTCTATCTGCTCACCATCCAGGGTGAGTACAGGATTGGAATCCTGCCAGTCTTGTAGAAGTACTTTGCACTCCGAAGGTGCAAAGCACATACTATATCTACGGACACTAATTGTCATCTGTCTCTGCGCGTGATCTATTCTGAGCCATGTCACCAAGAGTCTCCAACCATTGGTTACGATAGTCACGCGGACCCCAGCCAAGTAGTCTGCATCTACCAACATGACTCACTAGAAGTTAGTGACTTCAAGCTCTGATGCCACGTTTTGGTTTGGTCGCCTTTAACTTTCTTCCAACCATCCCGAACACCGGTTAGCATTGCTAGTTGTGGTAATCGGTGTTCGGGCTTACGTAACACGTGGCCCAACCATTTCAGTCGATGAAGATTCACAACCTCATCAACTGATTTACCATCATTCCCTAATACCTTGCGTCTAACTTCACTATTACTGACCCGGTGATCCCAACAGACGCCAGCAATATTTCTGAGGCATCTGTGATCAAATACTAGTAAACTAGATAGATATTTTAACTTAATTCTGCCTCTAAACGCACGTGACCACTCATTCCCTGGCACCGTCCAGTCATCGAGCTAATAGTTCTCAGATAACTTCTCACTGTTCAACACGCGCTACCAATGTTTGAAACTGACTATGAACAAAGACGCCGATTGCATGTGGGAATCGTCAACCACGAGTGTGAACGCTCCCGGTTGAAGTCGCTGACTGAAGACTACTTCAAAGTCCTCATTCTCATCTGTAGTCTCCAATCGCAAAAGTTCAGTGACATCAGAACACGGTTGCTGATTCTAATGGACTAGACCGTAAAGTGACTTTTAATGCTATTGAAAGTGAATATCAACGTATAGTTAATCTACAACACGATACTACGATAGTTCAGCGTGTTAATTCCGATCGACCTGAAGTATACGTGGTCCAACAACCATCCAACTCGGTTAAATTTGCCCCAGCAAAACCTAGTCCATCTCACTCAAATCCAGTACAACAGGCAAAGATGAAAACTCCTGCTCTCTGCTGGTACTGTAGTGCATGGCATTAGCGCCCGACGTACAATGTTTTATGGTGTAGGAGTAGGATGGAAGAAATCTAGTGTCTGCCAGATTAAAACACGGCACGACAACATAAAGGGCTGGCTGTCTTTGGAAAGTCTTAATATCGCTGTCTGCTGTCCATCCGAAACCCGTATTCAAGACTCTGGTGAAGTACTACAAACTCGCTCTTCATCTGTCACTTCAAAAAGCTTGTTTAACGTGCGCTTATCCGGGGACCCTGTGGCATCTTCGTCTGGTCTTGCTGGCGTTGATTTCTCACTAAGTGCTAGAGCTGAGCCAGCACTAATCGATTGGATCCCAATTCACAGTCGGTTATGTGCTGTTAGATTAGAAAGTTCCATCAAAGTGAGAAGAAATCGGCATGAGAAACGATGTCTTTTCGTCATCTCCGCCTGTGCCCCGACAGATTGCAGCCCGGATGCAATCAAGGATGAGTTTTACCACCAGTTATCTGTTCTTCTCCAGAAAGTGCGTTCGACAGATATTGTAGTACTAGCCGGAGACTTGAATGCTCAGGTCGGGCGTCTAGGCACAGAAGAGAGTCGCTTAGGTGGCCAATGGGCACTCGTTGGTGGCAGGTCAGATAACGGGGACCGTCTACTGCAACTTTGCACAGACCACAACCTGTTTCTGGCTAGCACTAACTTTCGGCACAGTCATCGCCGATGTGCCACCTGGCGTCCTCCCTCTGCATCTCAAGCCTGGACTCAGATTGGTCACATCACGATCACCTACCGCTGGCGTGGTTGCGTAAAAGACTGCCGCTCCTTTTGGAGTACCTATCTGGACTCTGACCATGCCTTGGTCTGTGCCAATCTTGCCTTACTTTTCAGTGGCCAATGAAGTGACCACCACCAAAAGATTGATGTTAGCAAGCTGGTTGCAACTTCTGTTGCAAATAAGTATCGAACCGAGCTAGCCTCTAGGCTAGCTACCACTCCACGGAAAAGTATAGATGAGCATTGGTTGCAATTGCATGACGCCATGAAAATGGCGGGAACAGTCAGTTGTGGGTTCGCGAAACGTCCCGCTTTTAAGCACTGGGTTTCTGCAGGTTCCTTACAACTCATTGAAGCCTGTCGGTCTACTGCGGGTAACCGTGAGTTTGACCATAAACAAAAGATGTTACGTAAGGAAATTGGGCAAAGCTTGCGTAAGGACCGAGAAGCCTGGTGGTCGAAGCGTGCTAATGAGCTGGAAGCAGCAGCTGCATCTGGTAATGACCGGAAGCTCTTCCAGCTCATCCGAGCCACTGGCAGCAAGAAGTCTGGTGTGAGTGAAACAATCTACGAGGATGATGGGATGCCAATCACTAACATCCATCGACGTTTTGGACGATAGGCAGAATTTTTCGAATGGCAGTTCAACTGGCCTGCTGCTCCGGCGACATCGGTCAGACTGTCCTGCCCTCCATGGCCGGTGACGACTGATCCACCAAACGAGGAGGAAGTCCGCAAGGAACTCCAACTCTTGAAGCGTTACAAATCACCTGGCCCAGATGACTTACCTCCGGCTCTTTTTAAAGAAAGTGGTGACTTTTTGACTAAGGAATTGACGACGTTGTTTACAAAGGTTTGGGAACTAGAGAGTGTACCAACGTCATGGAATGAGTCGATAGTTGTCCCTATCTTTAAAAAGGGTTCACGTCGTTCCTGTAACAACTATCTGGGGATAAGTCTACTTCCGATTGCGTCCAAGCTATTGGCTTGCGTCATACTTCGTAAGTTGTTCAAAACCCGAGAAAGATTGACTTGCGAGGAGCAGGCTGGGTTTCGTTCTGGTCGAGGATGTATTGATCATATCTTCACCCTCCGCCAAATGTTAGAAAACCGCCATACTTATCAAAGGCCAACAATCGTAGTGTTTCTTGACATCAGGGCTGCCTTCGATTCGTTGGACAGGACTGTTCTCTGGGATTGTCTATTGAAGAAGGGTGTGCCTGAGAAGTTTATTAACATCCTAAAAGCCCTATATAAAAACACCTCAGGCAGAGTGAGGGCATACAACCACCTCTCTCCATTGTTTCATTCGAGTAGTGGGGTTAGGCAGGGTTGCCCAATCTCACCATTCCTCTTCAACTTTGCCATCGATGACATTCTGGAAACAACTCTGATGGATGTAAGTAATGGTGGTGTGGATCTGTTGCCTGAAGAAAGACTTCTCGACCTTGAGTATGCGGATGATATTGTTTTACTGTGCGATAATGCCCAAGACATGCAATCCGCACTTAATTGGTTGGCAATGAGTGTCCGTAGGTATGGTATGTGCTTTGCACCTTCGAAGTGCAAAGTACTCCTACAAGACTGGCAGGATTCCAATCCTGTACTCACCCTGGATGGTGAGCAGATAGAAGTAGTCGAGAAGTTCGTGTATCTGGGTAGCTGCACAATTGTTGGTGGTGGCATGAGTGATGAGATCAATGCACGTATAGTGAAAGCCAGAGTGGCTTATGCCAATCTGGGCCATCTATGGCGCCTTCGTGATGTTGGTCTGGCCGTAAAAGGTCTGATCTACAACGCGTCGGTGAGAGCAGTTTTGCTCTATGCTTGTGAAACCTGGCCTCTCCGAGTTGAGGATGTTAGAAGACTCATCGCTGTCTCCGAAGGATTGCTGACATCCAGTGGCAACACCATGTCAGTAATGCAGAGGTTCGGCATCGTGTGTTCGGGCACAGAGATGATAATTCAATTGGTGTCACCATCTTGAAACACCGACGTCGGTGGCTTGGACATGTTCTCCGAATGTCGTCCTAGAGAATTCCACGTCGTGCATTATTTGCCGACTCTAGGACTGGTTGGAAAAAGCGAAGAGGTGGTCAGTGCACGACATGGTGTCGTGGCATGAAAGAAAGCTGCAAAGGACTGGCTTCTGTCGGTCCTTCACGACTCCCTGGTTGGGGTCTGAGAGATGGTGCAACTCAGTGGCTAGAGACGTTATCAGATATGGCTCAGAATAGAAGCCAGTGGAGATCCTGATGTAATTTTTTACTTTCTTCATAAAAAGTGGTTGTGTCTCCCTTACTTGAAAGATTTCCGATTGTATCTTTGCGTTCCCTGATTACTAGCACATTACCTTACACCAATCTCTTCGTTATTGTTCTCTCTTTTTTTGTTGCGCTCCTTAGCTTTTTTTTCTTTCTTTGTATTCCTCTCGAATTTTCATTGTTTTGTGTGGCGCATATATAAAGGCGCTCTCTTGTACCAATATTCATGTGTCCTACTCACTAACTGCTCACGGTAAAGATGTGGTTTACGAAATTTAGAGGACGATAATCGAATGTCAGGCGCTTTAAGCCAGTTGGTGGACACGGAGGTTTCACTTAGGAGAGTAGGGAAACCCTGATTCCAAATCAATGGTGCACATGGACTCCATTATCCCGAGGGTACAAATGGCGTATGAAGCAATTGTTGGTCACCATCTACCATGGGACTGTATCTCCTTACGTTGCTGCATTGCCTTGTGGATCAGATCTTTAGGTTGAAGGCTGTGGTTGGTTTTAACTTTCCATTTTTCACCTTATTGTTTCTCCGTGTAAGTCAGCATTTCAAACCGTTCTTGTTTCTATATCATATTAGGTATTACCTGAGAAGAATACTCTACGCTTAAATAGTTATTTACCTCTGAACACTTGCTGGTTTTTATGGAACCCAGAGACACATATTTGTATCACTTCAGACCAAGAGAAAAAACTACATATGTTTCAACTTAAGGTAAGATGGAGTTGAAATTTCTGTGTTTAAAATTCCGGCCACTATTCCAACTTTTCAACGTATACCATTTTCAGCGGAACTCAGTTATTTTTCTAAAGAAAATTGTGTATGTCACTATCCTTTGTCGCATATGTGATGACTGGAGGAATCTACTGGAAAAACTCATGAGTCATCAGTCCATCGTATCGGCAAACGGTTAGTTTGATAATGTAGAAAGTAATAAATGTTAAAGAGAAAGTCTTCCTTCATAAAGCCAAAATTTAAATAATTAAAAAAATGTTTACACGGTATTTGTGTACACCATGTTTTTAGAGTACTTTCAAGTTATTTTAACCACTTCAATGAGTTTTAATCAGATCAAAAATGAATTAGTCGACAAATAAGCTTATTGGAATTCATATTTATTAATTAGCCATTGTAATAATGAATAAGAGGTGAATTGTACTACATATTTTATTCATTGGAGTCACATAAAAATATCAAAATTTGATTTTGAATCAATCTTTCTCAATCAGTAAATATTCATATTTGTTTCAGTATTTTCTTTCTTAGAAGATTGTAAACCCACATAATCTTCATTGACAACAGATTGGAAATTAAAGTATTTTTTCGCTCATTGAAGATATTTTTGAACAACAAGGTTACTGCTAATTTCGTTAACTTTTTATTTTAGATTGAAAATCTTCAATAATCTTTTTCCTATCTCATAGACACCCGGCACAATCACAAAAGGACCAAAGTTTCTGTCTCCTACATCGGTAGGGGCCAATGGTGATACCATATCGATTGAACAGAAACACTGTTTTTTAGCTTTATTGTAAGTAGGTTCTTGTACTTTTTAACTTTTCTTTTCAGATATGAGGATTTGTACTTTGGTACTCTCCGCTACGTAAAGCTACATAACGAACCAAATCTTACCCGAACTATTAGTTTTTATACTTTAAAAATGTGAGCATTCTGTTTCTGTAGTTTATTGGATCCCTTTTTATTTTAGAGAAGATCCCATCGTATTGACACACCTCGTAATTTTAGATTTTCAGGGTCCTGTGTCATTCAGTGTATTGGATAACCTGTTCATGGTACACTATCAGAGCAGAAAGGTGTGTATATACAGTTATATTCGCTTGTGAAATATTTCACTGTTTTATTCTCACAATTATATGGTCTCATGCCAGTTACTGCAGTGGTCATTACACATAATGTTCATTGCGTGGAATGGGTTTTCGTTAGATTAATCCTCTAAAAATAGATATACCGGTGATGTGTTTTACTCGTATTTTTCAACTTAATAATAAAACGATGTCTTGTTATTGGTATTGCTTCCTTGTTTTGTGTAATGAAAGTGCTTCATCTAAATACATCAATATAGGTATTGGAATAAGAGAAATCTCGTTTCTAGATGCTGATCTCCAGCTAGTTATTGTTCAACGTTAAATGTAATCATGTTTAAGAAAAAGAAGAATTCAGCGAAGAAAATTTTCTTTTCGACGAAATCATTTACTTAAGCTATACATTCGTATATATAGTTATATGGCAAATGTATGTCTATAGAAGGATATAATGGATTGTATCACAAAAATGGATTCGACAATAAATAACAAATGAGGTTAACGTACTAATCAAGGGGTAAGGAAGAACAAAATTTAAGGGTCAGATAATAGTCCAATTGACAGATATGAAGAAAAACGACAAAACAACAAAGGTCATAATAATAGACTGAATAATAATCAAGAAAACTTGTAAAAGTTAATAATAATAAATGATTAGAGTTTAAAGTGCAAAATAGTAATAATAAAAACGCATCAAAAAAACACCTAGAAACATACCCATTAAGGGAATTAGGGTCAGGGAAGGATGAGAGTTTGGACAAATCGTTTCTGCACGCGACGTTCAGGCTTTAGTTTGTGGATTGCTAATGCCTCTGTGGTGCATAAAATATTGATTCGAAGCCCCTTCGATCCAGTTCCTTTGACTCTGTAAACTATCTTAAACGAAGAGTCTTTTGGAGCGATATGTCCACAGTTGATTAAGTGCTCCTGTATAGAACTCGTGATTGTTTTTCGCTCCCCTTTCAAGAGCCAAGCCGGATAATGTTCCGAGATGCGTTTGAATAATGATCGCTTTGTGCGGCCTATGTAACATACCCCACATGAGCAAGTAAATTTATAGATACACATTGAAGTGGCCCAAAGCAAAAGTTTGTCCTTAACACACCCCAGAATGGTAGGTCGGCTAGAGAAGATGATTCGAAGCTTAGCTGCGTGGAATGTTTTATTCAATGATTTCGAAATCCGTTTATTTAGGATTTCAGCAGCCGTATCTCCCTTAAATTCCATATTCATAAATAGAGTTTTTTTCTCTACTGTCAATGCTTTGTCATGAGGTCTAGGTACCAAGTTTCTATCGATGAATCTCGGTGGATAACCGTTTTTGATGAGGGTCTGTCGAAGATAAAATAGTTCCCCATCTATTGTGTCATTGGAACAAATTTGCCTGATCCTTGAGGATAAAAAATGAATTAAATTCCTTTTTCTAATTAATGGAACCCAACTGTGGAAGTTCTTGTTTTGTCCATTCCTAGTGGGTTTTCTGTATATCGATCTCTGTAATAAACCGTCAGGCATTCTTTTTAAATGGATATCAAGAAAATGAAATTCTTAGTTTGTCTCTGCTTCTAAGGTGAATTGGATTGATGGGTGGCAGTTATTGAAAATATTCAAAATATCATTGAGGTCACTATCTTCTTCGCAAATAATGAAAGTGTCATCCATATATCTTTTATATAAATGAAACCTTTCAATTATTGGTCGAAGTACCGAATTTTCTAGGTTCGTCATAAAACAATCAGCCAGGAGAGGACCCAATGGCGAGCCCATTGAACTCCATCTATTTGTTTATAGAAAACATCATTAAATCTGAACTGCACGTTGAGCGTACATCGTAGAATCAGTTCTTTAAGGTAATCTTTCGGGATACACATATCAAGATTATTGTTTTCAATATAGTCACATAAAAAGCAAATGGTTTCTGTGAGGGGAACATTTGTAAAAAGAGAAGTGACGTCTAATGAGAACATTTTCTTACCGGATACATTGATATTTCTAATGGAGTCGACAAAGTCAAAGGAATCAAGAGAATTGTGTTTGTTGATATGATTTTTAACAGGTTGTAGAATGTTAACTAACCATTCGCTCCAAAAGACTCTTCGTTTAAGATAGTTTACAGAGTCAAAGGAACTGGATCGAAGGGGCTTTGAATCAATATTTTATGCACCACAGAGGCATTGGCAATCCACAAACTAAAGCCTGAACGTCGCGTGCAGAAACGATTTGTCCAAACTCTCATCCTTCCCTGACCCTAATTCCCTTAATGGGTATGTTTCTAGGTGTTTTTTTGATGCGTTTTTATTATTACTATTTTGCACTTTAAACTCTAATCATTTATTATTATTACCTTTTACAAGTTTTCTTGATTATTATTCAGTCTATTATTATGACCTTTGTTGTTTTGTCGTTTTTCTTCATATCTGTCAATTGGACTATTATCTGACCCTTAAATTTTGTTCTTCCTTACCCCTTGATTAGTACGTTAACCTCATTTGTTATTTATTGTCGAATCCATTTTTGTGATACAATCCATTATATCCTTCTATAGACATACATTTGCCATATAACTATATATACGAATGTATAGCTTAAGTAAATGATTTCGTCGAAAAGAAAATTTTCTTCGCTGAATTCTTTTTCTTATTCAATGACACTATGGGTTATTTTAGTAATCATGTTTATCACTCCTCATTTAATCTCCTATATCCGAATCCTTTGTTAATAATAGATTATAAACGAATCTTCCCTTCTCAATAGCTAATGGATTAGGGATGTTAAGATGTTGCTATTTAAGCTGACTTGGATGCTGTATGTACGTAGTTTCATTAATTTTCTAATGCCTAAAGTGTTTATCAGGTGCTTCTCCGTTTGTTAGGTACTCATAAAGCATATTTTTCTAAGATAGAAAAAACATGTGGTTAGTTTTGTCTCTATATCACAATTTTTAAAACGTTACTCTGATCATAATTCTTGCAAGGTAGATAATCCTAGATATGGGGAAGCAGCATCCAAGGAAGATGAGCTTACTTACTTACTTACTTACGCCTGTTACTCCCAATGGAGCATAGGCCGCTGACCAGCATTCTCCAACTCACTCTATCCTGGGCCTTCTTTTCTAGTTCCATCCAATTCTTGTTCATTTTTCTCATGTCTATCTCCATTTCTCGGCGTAGTGTGTTCTTTGGTCTTCCTCTTTTCCTTTGGCCTTCAGGATTCCATGTGAGGGCTTGTCTTGTGACGCAGTTGAGTGCTTTCCTCAATGTGTGTCCTATCCACTTCCAGCGCTTCTTCCTGATTTCTTCCTCCACTGGGATCTGGTTTGTTCTCTCCCAAAGTACGTTGTTGCTAATAGTGTCCGGCCAACGGATCTGAAGTATTTTGCGTAGACAACTGTTAATAAACACCTGTATTTTCTGGATGATGGCTTTTGTAGTTCTCCAGGTTTCTGCCCCATACAGTAGAACTGTGTTGACATTTGTATTGAAAATCCTGACCTTGGTGTTGGTTGACAGTTGCTTTGAGTTCCAGATGTCCCTCAGTTGTAAATATGCTGCTCTTGCTTTGCCGATAGGCGCCTTCACATCTGCATCAGATCCACCCTGTTCATCAATGATGCTGCCCAAATATGTAAAGGTTTTTACATCTTCCAAATCTTCTCCGTCAATTGTGATTGGATTGGTGCATTCTGTGTTGTATTGGAGAATCTTGCTTTTCCCTTGTGTATATTGAGACCTATTGCTGCTGAGGCTGCTGCCACACTGTTCGTCTTCTTCTGCATCTGTTGTTGCGTTTGGGATAGAAGGGCCAGATCGTCTGTGAAGTCTAGATCATCCAACTGCATCTTAGATGTCCATTGTATCCGGCGCTTTCCTTCGGACGTTGACGTTTTCATGATCCAGTCGATCACCAGGAGAAAGAGAAAGGGTGAGAGTAAGCAACCTTGCCTAACACCGGTCTTCACTTTGAACGACTTTGTCAGCTGTCCTCCATGCACGATTTTGCAGTGTAATCCATCATATGAGTTCTGTATGATATTGACTATCTTCTGAGGCACGCTGTAGTGTAGAAGAAGTTTCCATAGTGTTGTTCTGTCCACGCTATCAAATGCCTTTTCGTAGTCTATGAAGTTGATGTAGATTGATGGATTCCATTCAATTGATTGTTCCACAATGATCCGTAGAGTTGCGATTTGGTCTGTACACGATCTATCCTTACGGAATCCTGCCTGTTGATCACGAAGTTGGGCGTCTACACAGTCCTTCATCCTGTTTTACAATACCCTGTTGAAGACTTTTCCCGGTATTGAGAGAAGAGTGATGCCCCTGTAGTTATCACACTTGCTGAGATCGCCTTTCTTCGGTATTTTGATCAGTAGTCCTTCTTTCCAGTCTGTTGGTACTTGTTCCTCGTCCCAAATCTTATTGAAGAGAATGTGGAGTATCCGTGCAGTTGCCGCTACGTCTGCTTTTAGTGCCTCTGCTGGGATGTTGTCCGGTCCTGCTGCTTTGCCACTCTTGATTTGTCTGATGGCCATGCTGATTTCTTCAATTGTTGGTGGGCCAACATTGATTGGGAGGTCCGTGGGTGCTGCTTCGATGTTGGGTGGGTTCAGTGGAGCTGGTCGATTCAACAGTTCTTTGAAGTGTTCTACCCACCTGTTTTGTTGCTCTTCAATGTTGGTGATTTCCTTGCTTTTCACTGGTCGTTCTGGTTTGTGGCGATTTCCAGATAGTTTCTTTGTCGAGGAAGATGAGCACTTACAACATATTCCATTTGTCTCCGTTTCCAGATTGCTCCGAACGCTCGTGATCTCAGAGTTAGTCGGTAATCAAAGTGTCTAAGAGAACGAGCCAAAAGAGTAAATCTCTAAAATGACTTTTTATCGACTTCATTCTAACGTCCAAACATACCTAGTAAAAACCTTTACGTTTCGACGTATGTTGAATGGACATTTTTAGTAACATTTTTCAAAACCGTTTGCAGATTAGATCTTTGTATATTTTTGGAACTGCGTTTATGCATTAAAAATCATTGTGTTTCATATTTCTATATCTATGCACAGCGTTGTATTATACAAGTAAATGTAGTACAAGGTTTCTCGCGTATACGAAATAGCTGACTTAATGTGTTGCACTACTCTGAAGAAGTGGCTTGAAATGAGTCACGGAATGTCGGAATTTAAATGTTTTTGCCTTCTAAGTAATTTAAAAATATATAATCATTTTATTTGTTATTTTGTATGGTTTCTTACTGAATGAGAAGTTTAGGCATCACACTTAGTTTATAAAATTGAGTTGTGTTTATTTAGTCGTATTTTGAATGGCATAATATTCCACTTTTAGTGGATCGTAAAGTAAACATTTTGCCGAGAATTATATCCTTACCATGTTGTTTACGTCTTACACAAAACCTATAGATTGTTATAATGTGCGGTAAAATTTTTCCTTTAATATTGTCAAGATAAGTAAGAAACTACCAGTAGTCCTTTCTAAAAAACTTTATCCATAAATGTAGAGATCACCTGGCTTAATCTACACATTAATTCATTTTGACAAGAAGTTTAGACTTTGTGGTATAAGTCACATAATAAATTATTTTAGTTTCATCGTGTCACTTTAGATTAAATATCATGCTTCATTTTTGAATAGATTATGGTAAAAGTACATACTCAGAAAATGTTTTTAATCCAGATTTATCACTAATCATGCATGTATCTTTTTCCAGATGAATTACTTTCAATCTGTCTTTTATCATCTCTGTCAACTAACATCTCTATTGGGCTGCTACCTACAAATTTTCGAAGTTTTAAACTATTGTGATGTTTCTATTTTTCCCGTATTATTATTATTTTTTTTACCAGGTTACGTCAGTTTTTGATATTGCCCTTAATGGAACCGTTCGCAATGTAATTCATCATTCACCTATATTACGTGATATTTCGATTGCACCATTCAGTCTTTTCACTAAAAGTGCGTATCTCCTGCTCAACAATTTCTTGATAAAATGCATATGTTTAGTTGAAGAAGTTTTGTGGAGATTGGTTTGATTTATGGGTTGTATTCATCACAGGTTTATCACAACTAAGATACCACTAAAAACCTGGGAGGACTGAATATCTGTTCTGTGTGCTGTCTATATTAATGAGTTCGTACTTCAACTTCGACAACAATCAATAACTTATTTAACACAATGTAAATAAGAGTATTGATTTAGTAATTAAATTGTTCGTAGACCACTTGTAATATAACTAGATAATCGTCCAATTCAATGGAATGGAGTTAAGTGATGATTCGTACAATTAATATAGGTGATATAATCGATTTTTTAAACAGATAGACACATGAACAACCACATTATGTAAAAAATAACGTACGAGTTCTGAATTAGTTACGTGAAATAGGACGAGATAACTAATAGGACTAGAATGACGCATTTAGTTGTCATATAATTCTGTAGTATGGCATGTAGTTTAAGTCAGTAGAGTGTGTATTGAGTTGCGAAACATTTTTATCGATCTGTATTTTTTTGTCACTTAACTTCCATAGCACACACTATTGCACAGTGGTTCAAGAAGTAATATCTACTTGAAGTGGTCCAGATTGTGCTTGTACTGCACTGTCAATTAATAGTAGTATTATAGTACAGAACAAATACATTTTTGTAAATACTCGGTGCTGTCTGTTCTTGGAGTGTATTAGATTAAACATTTTTTATCTGCTTTGATGTTTATCACTTCTACATACTACGTTTACATATTTTTCTACAAACGTAACTAAACCACCAATTATGGGCTCTTTACCCTACCATGTATGCTTTATAGCAACTTTTGTCTATATAACCCTGATTTCCGAGGCACTCTAGGGAAATATAAATATATATATTGCATTCGAACTTGAAATTGAGCAGTTCTAGATGACGAGTATACGAAAATATTGGTGTTCAGTGACGTTCATTTTCATATTCGAATTCGGTTGTATGCACTTCATTTTCTGTGAATACTCAATGACCAAACTGTAACCATTGAATATTATAACTCATTATCAGTCATTTAGAAATATGCTAAATGCCGTAGTTAAAAGCTCAAACTACCAAATTTGGTGAAATTCGATCATATCTTCTTGTAGGTATTCACATCTCTTAATTTTTCCTTTTATGGGTTGACTTAAGTTTCTAAATGTATCTCACATTATCAATGTTTTATTACATAATAATATGCAAATCAGTGTTAATAGCTCTTTTTGGGAACCGTAAACTATCTGCTTAACGTATTTTGATTTTGCTTTTCAGTCATTCCCTCATTATCAACAAACTTGGATGCTCAAATTCCTATCGATTTATGTATCCTTGATATAAATGTAAATCTCATTCTGTCTATTTTCGGTTTTACAATTTGTAACCTTCAAAATAATGAGTTGCTAGGGTTATTTTATTTGCCATGATTCCGTAAACCCTTCAAAGTTACAACTAACCTAGTGGTGTCATTAAGTTTGATTTGCTTAACCTATCATCCACCAAATTTGTAACGACCAGAAATGCAAGAGTTTTCGAACCGTAAGCTGCAATACCCAATTTTCTAGTTAGTGACATACACTACTTGATATTGCATAAACATCATGATTTGATAAACAAGTATGGTACCAATTTGTTATTAAACAGGTATGAATGTGTAGATCATACAGTATAATTAAATAGTTTTAGGAAGTGGGCTGTACAGTCAGTTTTCGTTCTGGAAATCGAATACAACCAAGGCATAAAAATATCATTTGCAAGAAATATTAAAAACTATAAAACTAATTACCCATCAGAGAATAATGATGTATCCTGTGACGGAAAGAACACGGTTTTACCATACTGGCTAGCTAATTTTAGTACACTCAAACGTGAATTACAGGCTGATAAGTTCAAAAAACATAAGGAATCGTGAATGTTAACTACCCGCTGAGAATCGTAGGGACTTCCAACAAACTGGAAACGTACTTCAATCCATAAAGGAACAATTCAAATCAATTAGTTCAAGCAAAGGTAGTCAAAAAGCGATAAATCAGTATGGCAGCCGCTATAATCAGAGGCCAAAAAAGCACTATCAGCTAAAATGTACCAAAAAAGAAATAATACTGTAGAAGAAACGCAGTTGTAAATAAATATGTACCCTAACCTTGTCCTGTATCGAAGATTAAATATGATATACGAAAAATAGATAGATTAGAAGAAAAACCTAGTGATCAAGGTGAAACAAAATACTGATTTCATATATTATGCATGTATGAAGGATTTTCCCACTCTTACATACGCACACACAAATACCAAAAAATCTTACAATATTATTAAGTTTCTAATCATGCTCCTTAATTTTACCATTGTGTAACAAAACTCCTTAACCTTACATATTCTCGCAGATTCAATGAATTGGATTATTCACCTGTGCGGTGTTGTAATTGACAACAGTCTCGGTGAGTGTTATTATTATGTTAAATTATCCGGCAGAAGTTCTGTAACCTATCCGGCAATTTGTTCCTTTCTTGAGTTATTGGAGTGTACTTGAAAAATTTCTAACTTGGGATCGCTAGAAACTTATTTAAAGAATTGTTAAATACACTAAATGTACATACCAAATGAACAAAAGTTGTCGGTTGAGTAACGCAATCACGGTTGCATAACTTCATAATTACTATCAATGTTCAAAGTCAGCTTCAAATAACTTATTTCGTATCCAAGTTTGATTGTTTTATTTTGCATATGCATACACAAACAAAGCGACAACTTACAAAGAAATAAAGGAGAGAGGTGTAGTACAAACTGAAAATAAATGAACAAGAGTGGTTTTTCATGAGAGATACAGTTCGGTTGAAAGTACAGCTCGAAAGACTTCTTTCAGTTATGGAAGTTCATTTCATTTCTATGAAAAATGTAGTCACAAACCATATCTGGATTGTCTATATCTTCTACTCTGAGCTATATCTGAAAACACCGCAAGCTTATGGACTGTATGGATTCTAGAATCCGAAAGAATCGTGACTCAATAATAAATGCCATTCCCACACAAAGCCATCATAGCACAACTATTTCTTATAAACTGCCCATCTCCCTGCTTTTTCAATCCAATCCCGGAAATCTTGTTGGGAGCTTTCAGCCAACTGATATCTCAACCGAGTGATCACAATGTCGAACCACTTAAGTGATCACACTCCAACTTGATCAATAGAATTAGATCAGCACGAAAGGACTAGACAAACAGGACACTGATTACTTCTCAGTGACTAATCAATTGTTAAGTTAGTGCTGTTTAAACGTAGTTTGTATTAGCTGTTTTCTTCCTAAACAATACTATAAGCAGTTGTGGGATAATTCAAGTGGTTACCACCTCTTGACCGGCAGCTTTTTAAAATTATTTTTATACTCATCACTTTAGCTTTTAATATTGCCAAATAATGTAAGTAGAATCTTTTTTTTTTGAAGTATTGTTCACAGTATACATTTAGTATGGGAAGATTTGGCAGTCATATATCATTTATTCTGGGTTACTCGTGTTAACACCTCTTCACTTAAAATCATTTTCACGATAAGGTAAAGTTAAAAAACTTAATAAGAATATATATTATTTCACGATGTTCAAAAGCTGTTCCGTTGTGAACAAATACGGTAAAAATTCCCAATTGGACAACAGATCATTCTGTCTAAACGTTTTCTTTTCTATGTTTTCTCATCGATGTCCCATTCGTCAGCATACTCGTTGCAAACAGAAGTATGTACATTCTTCATCGGTAGCAAAAATTTAGGATAAATGTATGAAAATTACTTCATCAACAACTAGGTACTGGATTCGAATTATATTTCAACAGCTCCGGTTTATGTCTTCAACCCATTAGATGTAGCTCATTCTGGTGTTTGAACCCACTTCTCGCCATTATGTAGATCTTTCACTTCATCAGTGTGTTCTAGTTTGTCGGAGTTAACTATTCTTTAAGTAAACTAATTATTCCTTAATACATCAACTTGTTCAGACCTGATTTTTGATTGATCAAATATTATTCTTGCATTGTTCCGTTGTACTATTTAAAATTGAATTAATTTTAATTTGGTTATTTATTCTCTGAAGAAGTGACTTACACTAAGTGACGAAACGTCAGAAAATCCAATTTTCTACTCATTGGGATATTACAAATATATTATTTTTATTTATAATTATTCCTTAATACGTCCGTTTAAGTATATATTTATCAACATACCAATTTGTCTAGATTGGATATTCAAGCATTTTTGTAGTTTTTTTATTGTTTTCGTTCAAACTCTTCTTCTAGGTTGCTCATGGCTGTTATGCTTGAATACTATGGTTTTTCCAAAACTAATTGCTAATCACGTGAGTTTTGTTTGTCTATTTTTGTCTGAAAAGACCTATAGATTTTTCACTAAGGTGCTCGTCTTAGTAGTTAATTGATTACTGATTTACCATAATTTTCGTCCACTAAAGGCTTATGCATTGAATTATTTGGAACATCTTTGCAATTGCGTTATTATTATTACTAGTAGATTATTTATGGATCTAATGTTGCGATCTCCTTTGTACGATGTTTCTTTTCATTGTTAGTCAAAATTCTGTTATTTGTTAACCTTCAAACCCATTGTTAGCTGTTCATAATTTTTAGGCTACTTCACTTTTGTCAATCATAATGAGGCCACTTTCTCACCCAAATATTTCGTCTATATTTTCCATCATGTAAACCACTAATAGTGGTCAAATTCACAGTGTTCTGTTGGTTTACGTAAGTCAGTTTTGTAGTACCCTCTTTGTAAAATAATAAACACACCAAGTATTCTATGCTTTCCGAAGCAGCTCATTTTGTTTCCTGATCAGTTTCTTACCATGCTTAAAATGCACAAGATATTTTATTGCGTTAGGTTGGTTTGAGCAGTTTTTTGTATGCCCAACTATTCGTTCTTAGCGTCTTTGACAAGTGTTCGTCTATGTAGGATATTTACATACTTTCTAGTGTTCACTAATTCTCGTTTCCTTGGTGTTATAAGTAAAGCGGGACAGTTTTTTAACATTTTCTAGGTGAACCACAGGTCATTGTAAAGCGTTCTAGTCAGTGAAGTTTACTTTTTCGCTTATCTATATTGAACTGTGTGTTTCTATAGTCGGAATAAGGTCAATAGTTTAACATCCTGTAATACTTTGTGATTTCTTTATTTGGTAAAACTAAGAACATTGATTATTCAATTTGGGTGTTATTACTTTACAGAACCTAGTTGTGGATTTTCTACTTCATCGATCCAGTGGCAAAAGTGTACTGTTAGAGTACTGCTCTAAATTGGCGTTAGACAGTATCGAAGAGGTTACTTCCAATGTTGACAAACCTCTGAACTACAAATTCGATGGATATGGGTTGAATCAACGACTAGATCAGTTTGCGTTCGTCTTTAAACGGATTTGTGAAGTGGGCTACTGTGGGACAAACGTCATGAGTAAATTGCTCACTGATTCTGATCGTAAAATGCCAAGTGCTTCGGAAGCATCATGCCATTGTTCTATAGTTGTGAGTGATGCTTTAAATTTAATGTGGATAAATACATTTTTATTGCCAATACTTCGAAGACTTTACTTGAATCATATTCAGCTCCTGCATATTTTCCTCTATTGTACCGATTTAATTCATGTAGTTTCATCACACATAAGCCACTACCTCAAATACATCAGAAATAAAACTTACGATCCGAAATCGTTCACCGGTGATGAATGAAAAAATAGACATTTTACTTGTGGCCAATTGCACATTTTTCAAATATTGCAAATGAAACTGCTCAATAAACACCAGTCACACTCCCTTTATTTGTTTTTTATTCATATTTCCTCACTTATGATCATAGTTTGATGAGTATTCATAAAATGTCATAGCTGATAAAATTTGGAGGTAACATTTTAAAGGTTATTCATTTCTCTATTTTAGATGCATCTATAGCTTTCCGAACTTTAGAGTGTTTTGGAATATGACTGGTCACCGATGTTTATACACGTTTTTAATTAAATAGGTTTGATATTCAGGTAAATGTTAAAGTAAATAGTTAATACATCAACTAATTAGGGACTCTTCTCTCAGATAGTAGGTAGTTATCCATTCTTCTGATGACCCTAGTTTAAGCAAACTTTACTGGTTCAGTATGAGAAGAGTTTCTGTTTAAATGCATTGGAAAGCAGACTTTAAGATTTACTACCTCTTTATATAGATATTTTTGTTTTTTCATTTTGTTTCTCACACTTTTAAAAGGACTTCCAAGTTTTCATATTTTCTTTCGACAGAAGACAATATCCAAAGGCGTACATGCGGGTTCGTCAACCTACATCATTTCCCAACCTGAAATATATTCACATTTATTTTTAAAGAACCAAGGTGTTGAGGTAAATGAGTTTGATTAGTTTTCGAACTCATACTAATTAAAATAATATTGTTCAAACCTGTAAGTCTTTATTTAATCACCGGCCATTCACCTTTGAATGAGAGAATATACGGTTTTCTATTTTGTTATTAGGCTTTAAACGGAACAATGAATATATTTCTGTGATGAAAACCGGTTACATTTTAAATTTTCCCACAGAAAATCAAAGCGAAAGTTTTTTATGACCATCAAAATATATATGAGGAATTCTGACGCAGACACTTAAATATCTAATTTTTCAAATAGGATTTGTCATGTAACTGATATCTGTAAACAGTTAAGACAAGAATTTAGGTGGTGATGTTTCATGAGATAAGCTGTTAAAATATCACCAGTTACCGGTTTTCATGACGTTGTCTTATTTTTTGTCACATGTTTATAGAATATTGAATTGTTTCGTAAAAATGTGGTAAAAATATCTCAAGTTATTTGGTATTTTTTAGTTAATGTTATTATATCCGAGCGAAGATTAAATCACGAGTAACTTCTGATGTATTAATTGACCAATATTATCTGTGAATTCTTATGGTATAAGTGTTCAATAATTAGATTATGTATATTTATATTCATCTTATTATAAGCTTTATTTTGACCTATAATTTATAATTGTACGATTTACTGTTCTTAAGCTATGTTCAGTTTATTGACTACTGCCTCCCACGTTCACAGTCGCTTTTTGGCTTTATTGTGCACAAATGTTATTTCCTATTTTATGGTGCGTTGCGGTCTGTTTGTTTGATATATAAACCCAGTAAGTCTGAAATAAATAATTCGATCTGATCCTATTCGATTCGCATATTGGAAGCTGGTATTTGGTGTTCTGGACTCAAGTGGACGGGCTAGGCGGACATAGGACCAATAAGGACACTAGACTTCCCTTACCGGTCGAAAGTCATTGGTTTGTCACAGTGCTAAGGTTGTATAAGTCGTATTTTGATTGGTGGATAAATCACGTGATAAAAGCCGGACATAAAGTCACAACAAATGTAAAGTTCCTTTTTGTAGCCATAATCTGTGGTATATTTCTCTGGTGCATATCTTCGTATTGATTTCGCTGTTCTCTGATTGGATTTTACCACTTCTAGTTCCCTAATTTTACTGTCCCAAGGTCATGTTTGTTGCTATATGTTCAAATTTGTTCCCGTTGAACATCTAGCTCTTTTTCACTCCTACCTTCTTGGGTTTCATCATTTAGGGATTATAGTTGAAGTGTTGTGCGTAACAGTTCCCGAGTCATTGAGTTCAGAACAGTTTTTGTTCCTATTACGGAAATTACGATTGTTCTTAATTAGCATTAACTGTAGACCTAACCAAACCAATCTCTAGATAAAACGGGAAGTAGTCAGTTTTTTTTTAATTTCGCTTAGAGTTTTTGTGGTGAGGCGTCATTCTGTTGCAATGAAATTGTTGTAGACCTTTTCAAGCAGAAACTGAACCAAAGAAATAACTTGTTTTTCTCCGTCTCTTTCGGTTTACGATCCATTAGCATAGTCCTAAATCAGTTAATACTACTATCCGAGAAAAGACTTCGCTATTCACTTAGTGTATCAATTACTTTTATTTGTATCTATCTGAAAAATAGACCTTTCATCTCTCTCATAACCGTATCACGTACTAATCAAACAAATATATTCAAGCAGTATATCCCCAAACCAAACTTAAGTGATAACGCTTTTTTTTCTGTTTTCCTACTATTGTTCACATAAATCAAGTTTTTTATTCTTGTCCCATTAGTTACTTGGCTTTGATTATTGTGCTTACTAATATAGTGTATCTACTGTTCCATTTGTAAAGCTTATGAGTTACAGAACTTGTTACTACTACATTTAGTTCATGCATCTTTCTGTATCCAGTTAGATAAAATATCTTATTCTTGGACGGTGTTGCTGTTTTAAAATTTTCCACCCAGTATCCTCTAAAGGAACAAATGCTTCAGACTGTTTTCACTTCTTGTTATAACTTGTGGGTTTGTGCCCCTATCAATGTATAACGTAATGATACCGCCAATTAGAGAACAGTGATCTATCGACCGGACCAATGACGCATAAACCTGTACGAGTAGTCCAGAGTCCTTATCGGTCCAGCTTCCTGCCCAGCCCCACCTGCTAAGTCCAGAACACCAATCTCAGTCTCTGCGACATGAATCATGTATGTCAAACATACTTGGTTTGTATACAAACCAAACAGACCGCATCGTACCATAAAATAGGAAACAACATTTGCACAAGATTTAGCCAAATTTGGTTGTGAATGTAGGAGACTGTAATTAATAGACTGGGGATAACTTAAGAACGGTAAATCGTATAATAATAGTCTATGGGTCAAAATAAAACTCATAATAAGAGGAACATGAATATGAATAGTTTAGTTACTTAGCAACCATACAATAAAAATATGTGTATAGTATTTGTCCAGAAATGCATTCCAACAGTTACCATTCATTATTCTTATCGGGATATAACACTTCTGTGTATGTTTTTTTCGAAATATCCTAGCTTTCAGATAATTATTCAAACCATAAATAACTTCTATTATGTGAACTTATTTTGAATGCAACTTAACGAGTGCTTTGCTGGTCTTTCTTATTTATAGAGACTAGAAGTCCGTAAATTGTTTCGCTCTATACTGATTGAATATATTCGCATATTTTCAGAGCACGACATTTGTGTAGATGTGAGTATCATCAATTTTTAGTGTTATAATTAAAATAGTTTTATCTAGCTAAACTTGTTAGTTACACCATATAGAATTATGCTAAGTAGAGACATGAAGTAAGAAAAAATGATTACAAGTGTGCTTACAACATTTGTATCGTTAGATAAATATATATAATTATATCTCAAATAAACCCATATTTACTGTTTATAAAAGCTTATGTTTCCATTCAGTGTTTTTGACGGATTCTTAATAAATAAGTGATGGTAACCTCTGTCAGTGGTCAATTACTACCTGGCATCATAACTTATTTACGGAATTTATTTTCTTGGCTATGTTCTACAATTATGAACCTTCTAATAAAAAGATTAACCACTCTTCAGATAAAAGGCAATATATGATTTTTTCGTGGGATACGCTGGGACTTTTACTGCAAATTTTCTCGCTCCACAGAGTTTTCATCTCACTATTTCGGATTTGCCAGTCAGCTGCCAACGTTGACTGTTCATATACGAGAAGTAGGAATTTTCAGGAAGATACTAAAAGGTTTTGACTTGGCAGTGCAACCAAATAGTATTTCCTAAGACTTTTCTCAGTATTATCCTAAGCTGTTTTTTATCAATACATATCAGTATGATGTGTTTCATGTCCACTGTTTATTTTAAACCGGAATTAAGAAAAAAAGTAGACCCTTGTTATGCTCGTGACTAAATGATTGATAGCGAAATATGATTAAAATTCCTTTTGGAATTTATGTTATGTCAGTTAAGGTTGTCTACTTCTAAAAACTACTAGAAATAAGAAGCATCGAACAGTCGTTTAGCTTTTTCCTTTAAATCCTCATTTTTGTCACCTTACAGGATTTCTCAAGAGACAATCAGATCCTGCATTGGTCACGTTACAATTTACTCAATGGATCGGAATCCAAAGAACTACATTTACCAGTTTCACTTATCTTTTGTGTATTTTCGGACTGTGACTAGCAGTGGAGTCCAGGGTGCACATCATACCCTATGTATAACACGTTATATGGACAAATTAGCATCCTAATTTTTACATGTACACTGAAATTCGGACTAAATATCTATCTGTTTGAATACCAACTGACGAGTCCCAGCTTGGAAAAAGTACACGTCATTGATTCCACTGCCAGTCACAACCGAAAAGCATATCAGAAACGTATATACTTTTGCAATACTGGAGTATCCGTGTGGGTTGCATGTGTGGTAACAGAGATTGCTCTGATAAAATTCGGAATGTGAACAGCTCAAAAACATTGATATCTGAAAATTTGTCACATACGTTGTCACTTTTATAACGTATTATAATATGAAGGTGAATAATCGACAGTGATACTTTCTAATCTGCCTTAGTTACATGTTTTGTCTATCTTAAATTCCACGCCAGATGTTTTGAATGTGAAGTGACCTTTACACTTCCAAATTCTCGTCACATAATGAGATGATTCTGCACTTTTTTTCTCACATTTAAATCTTTATTGACGTTTTTTTCGAAATAATTTCTTTTCAGCATTGTTTCTACGAAATGCTCGTCAATCTCACCGCCAGAGTGGGGGATTATACACAACTCAGTTTTTATATTCAAAGTCGTCTACTTGCTGATTCAAAGCCTACCGTAATACCTTATCTTATAAAAATGAGAATTTTGAGTTATTGGTTTTCTAAATTGTTGTAATTTGTTCGTAAATAGTTGACTGATTCTAGCAATTTACTATTTCTTCCAATACGTATTTGTAGTTCGTCCAAGATTCCATTTGTTTATTGTCATGGTAACCACTTTTTGTAATTTTAGTTCTAACTTATTGTTGATTAATCTGCACTAGCTGTATCTTAAGGAACACTCTGGACGGTTGTTAGTAATCGCTTATCGTAACTTAGTTAATGAGAGTAAATTCAGAATAGTTAAATTTTATTCTTCAATGTATTTTGTTAACTGTAGTATTTATAATCATCAAGCATAAAGTGCTTTTTGTAGCGTACGAATATTTGATCGTGTTTAGAAAAGCAAAACAATTTTATGGTATTTTCATGATATTATTCATGGCTTTAACCTTTGTAACCAGAACGTGTTTTTTTCGTAATTCTATGCAGGGGTTAGCTATTTTTTATTTCTTCTGTAGCCTATGTGCATCATATTTTAAAGCAGAAAGTTTTAATTCTTGAGAAAACCTTTAGATGATGTTCTGTTTTATTTTCCTCAAATACGACTTTCTAGTTGGGTTCACTTTGCACTTTAGAGACCAAACGTTTGGTAATTCTTAAAATCATTTTTTTCTGTTTCATAGAAATTGACCATATCTTGTTATCTAGTGTATGACTTTTTGTAGGCACTTCAACTGCTTTCTTTGGAAAGTGTTTATCCCGCAGCAGGACAACTTGGTATTGATATGCTAAAGGTAGGTCACCAATCCACTTTTTGATTACATGAGCTGAAGTCAATAGCGATTGTATGTTGAAATTTTAAAAAAACAATAGAAGTTCACAACTCATTCCAACTTAACATCTTTAGTACAGTCCTCCAAAAATGATAAAGCTCTGATCAAACGATGATCTTTTGACAATGCAACTATTAACCATCTAACAATAATAGTTACTCTCATTCTTGAATTTATTTCACACTAATGATAACAGCCTGCTTACCTCAAACTGAATGTCAATCCGAAAGCTGTAAACAACTGACTAATAACCTCGTACTGTTTTGTTCAGTCTGAATGAAACTTAGGTGATTATAATCATTGTTTGTCAAAAAATAATCTAGGATAGCAGCCAAGAAGCATTCTGTTACCTGAAATTAACTGACCACTGTTATCACTAAAGTTTATTTCAAGAATTACCTTAAAAATATTTGTCAGTAAAATTCAATAATTAGGTTCTGACGGATGAACAAGTTGTTTTAGTCGATCCACACTTTCTGAGCAGGATGATTCAGCCGTAAAGGTTACATTGCATTAGGTTCACTGGAACATCACATTAAGAGTCAATAAAAATCTAAAAATCTCCCAGCTTCTCGAAAATCTATAAATCTATATTACATGGTACTACAGTAAACAATAACTGGTTTACGTAACAGTCAAGGTGATAAAATCAGCAAAATATTTAGTACTCAGTAGAAACAAGGGTAAAATATAACGAATTCAATATAGCTGTAGGTATACAAAACCCACCAACCAATCGTAAAGTAGTTAATTTACAACCAACGAATGAAATATTAGGAAGAAATTGGTTCGTCACTAATAATATTTTAGTGCACATATGTAATACATTGCTTGACTTGACAAACTTCAGAAGAATTTGGACTGTTAGAATTTATTGTCAAACTTTGTCATCCGTTTGTTGGTATATTTTTATTAATGGTGTTGTAATTGTTTATGCATGTAACGATCGCTACTGGAATTCTGACTTGAGATTTTAGGATCGAATTTCTGTGTCAGTACAAAATTCATATCGCATTTAAGTTCCTATGGACAGATTGTTATAAAATTGTGAAGAATTAGATTGTCCCGATGATAAAAATTACTTGTGTTGGTTGTTAAATATTTTAATTTCTCTTTATATTTTTGTGTTTATTTTCACTAATCTTCTTATCAGAGATTGAATACATGCAACACTGAATTGTTCGATGCATTACTGATAAAAGGACGGCCATTAGAGGCATTAAGGTAATCAGTTTTCCTCCAAAAGTCCACGTCCTAGCTTTTTGTTTAAGACGAAATTGGAGCTATATATATTAGAGTCTCATGTTATTGGTATATTCTACATCCCCGAAACTCGCATGCAAGATCCTGGCATGATCAGTATTAGGAACTGACTCAATTCACCCTCCGTATATTTGGGGCCTTTTTGTATAAATTATTGTTGCTTCGTCGAGATAGTCATAGGATTAAGAGCGAAGGTAGTACAGACTCTCATAGACTGAATTTCAGTAGACAGTCACTTGTGAACTGTTCAGTTAAATGGTGACGTGAAACCCGGAAGCATAGAGATTCACACCCTTTCCTTTTCATATTTTCAGTGTCTATGCTTTCTCTGGCTGTAATCCTAGTAAATGAATTTTACAGAAAGTTCTCTGCTCTTCTAACGGAATCTAAATGCTCAACCATAGTAATCATAGCATTTAATTTTATTACTTAAGTAGATTGGCTGGACCAAGCTAAAAGACACCTAGGTAGACCTTTAGTTGTCCCAGCTCAGTGAACGAAAATAGATAACCGTCTACTGCAACTACACACACCCAACAACTTTAAACACATGAAGAGACATCGTCTGAGACGGCGACCCACCAAGATTTATTCAGCAATGAGTACGAATAGATCATGTTGCCATCATCCATTTTTGAGAGGCTCTGTAGAATTCTGACACTCAATCACGAACACTTATCGACTCTAATCATGTTCTAGTGAGAGGTCATTTTTGTTCGCATTTTACTGGACTCGGAAAAGTGACAACTGGAAGACCCATTATGGTCCACCTCAAAGACGAAACGTCGAGAGGATATTGTAGGAACAACTAAAGATGCAACTAGCGATGTTCACTTCCATGTAAGTTTCATGATATCCAAAAGGTGTGAAAACAGCAATGACATTTACCCTTGGATTGAACCAAAAGGTTAAGAAATATAAGTGGATCTCTATGGTGGTTAGTGAGTAGTTGGTAAACTCAAACTCATCTCATCAGTCTGAGTACTATGAAAAACGAAAACAACCTAATTGTAGACTAGCAAATAGTCTAAGCAATGATTGTCAAGTGTGGCAGCCAACGAAAACAAAGTAGATGGGAAGAAATGGCAGTGGTTAATGGTTGAAAGTTTTTCAAACTTATTGAAGAAATAGGTAGTAAAACGTCAGGTGTTAGTGAGACTATCATCAAAAAAGACAGAACTCTGATCCTCTTTCTACTGAGACAGTTGAATATGTGGGAAGTACCTCTTCAAGGGACCTTTCAACTGTTTTCTTGGTACTCTTCAATTATCCACTATTTCCAGACAGCCTGAGAGGAAGAGCGACATGTACTTATGACTCCGAACGAAGTCTCCAAATGCCCTGGTATGGCCGAGAGTGGGGTGGGCCCGCCCTCCCTCTCGAAACGCTCTCACACTGCCACGCATATACAGCCTCTGCCATGGAAGTCCTACTCACTGCCTTCTCGTGGCGGGGGTGTTGTTTACGAAAATGAAAGGACGAAAAGCGAATGTCCGGCGCTTTAACCGGACCCAAAACCAATAGTGCACATGGGCTCCAGTATCCTGCGGGAACCAATCGTTGGTCACCGGCTACCATGGGACTGCATCTCCTCACGATGCTCCACTGCCTTGTGGGTCAGACCTCCAAGTTAAAGGCTTGGGGTGTGGCCCCCTAAGGAAACCACCTGCTTCGGTCTGAGGACCCGGGCGGTATCGCAGCCCACATACAAATAAAATGGAAATGACGATAATTACTGAAAATTCTATTCACGTTTCGATTAACAGTCAAACAATCCACATTATTATTATTACTATTATCATCATTGTTATTATTATTTACCACGTCACTTATTCACTCTCTTTTATTCCAACTTTGTGTATCCTTATTTTTCGACTTATACAGTAGCTGGCTTATGGTGGAAACTCAGTTCTATCTTAACGTTCTCGAGTCACTGCCTGGTTGAAAATTGTATGCTACCACCAAATACGAATACCGTTTTTACTGTGGCGCACATATATTTGGTGCCCCCTTGTACCAATAATTATGTGTTCAAATAAATAAATCTAACGAATTTGTAATGATCACAGCTAGCACTAAAAGAAGGTGAATAAGGGTCTTTAGTAGTTTGGTAACGGAGATCCTTAATAACAGGGAGATAATTTTGGCGGATAAACGGATTGATATATTAGCTTGATATAATCCGATGTAATTAGTTTCGACCACTTCTCATCCTAGCTTATAAACCAGGGCAAAAATTCTCGTGTTATAACCACAAGGTAATCAGTTTGATTTAAATAAAGTTTGTCTAGGATATTACCTTCAGTATTCACCAAACTCTTGGAGGGGGGCTCGTGAAGAGCGAACTCAAAAAACGATGTTAGTTTCAGACCTGAACTTGGTTGTGTCGATCAAATATTCATCCCTCATCAGATTACAAAACATAGGCATATTTGCCGATGTCTGATAATTTTGGTATTTCTCGATCGTAGATCGAGCGGTTTTGTAAAAGTATCTGTTATTAAAAAGCATAACAAAGAAATACGTCGACCTTGTATGGATTCTCTTTTCGACTACTACTAGTCATTAAAATTGATAACACCAAGTTGTGTTCATCTGGATTGTCTGCTGCTTCTTCGTTTTGCTTAGCTTTGTCATTCTCTTAGAAATAACACTTGTCCTCTGATTTTTATGGAACTGAAACTCTTGTCAACGTGGAATATGTAGATGGCATAGTTCTGTTCGGCAATAATGAAAATACAGTCTTTTGATCTTGAGCAATAATGTAACTGTACTTGACATACGTCTGCCCCCCTCTAGACGCAAAATATTACTTCAGGACTGGTGCATACAAACGCCTGAACTAATAACTTCCGGATCCGAGGGTACCAAGCTTTCAAACTGTAGTATTTGTGTATAGAAAGTTGTCATACATATAATTAACTTGCCACCATTCCTTTTCTTTTATGTAACAACATGCGAGTTTTGGAATTCTTTGTGTCTCTAAATATCACTATTAATATGGTTTCCAACCATATAACAATAAATTTATTAATGTTTAGAATGTTTAGTGTTACTTTTAGTTTTTTGAACACTAGGTAAACGTGGGAACTATATTCTCGTTTTTTGTAACTTTCACAGATTTGCTAGGCTGCATCGCTCAGAAAATGTCATCGACATGGAGAATGTTCGCAATTATTTGGATGCTATTCAACAAATCGAAGATTATATGGAATTATATTGTACTCACCATTTTCTTAAAGAAAGTTCAATGTGTATGGAGTCTTATTGGGACTCAGGTACTTTTTGAAAACTTATTCTAAAAGCCTTATCACTTCTAGATTGCTTAGACTTTAAAATTGTCTTGAATTCAAATTAATTCCTACATAGTTAGTCATTCGTTTACCGAGTTTTTTAAGGGCTCCGTTTTCAACCGTTAGTTAAGGCGCTAACTATTCAGGAGTTTAGCTTTTTGAATTATTAGGTTACATTTTATTTATTAGGCATTACGTGTGAATACCTCGTATCCCTCGTCAGTAAAACGAAAGATTTACACAGTATAGTTTCTAACACTTGTCACCATAATGTTTATAAATCATTGGTTTAATTTCTAGATAAAAAGGCTTGTGTATAAATTGTTACTACATTTTAAATTAAAATTGAACTACTGCTTCAGCTTATGTAATCTCAAAATTTTAAATAGTTTAGTAAGGATTCCTTATGGACTTAATAAGATCTCTTTTTTGATAATATCATACATATCCGAATCATGAAAATAATTGTTTAATGAATTCAACTGATTGTGGAGAAATATCACTTATCAAAATTTATGAAACAACTTTACTATCATTACGAGGATTCTTGTATCGTATTTAATAATACTGTACATAATGTACATTCTCAATACTTGTTAATTTATACATTACAGAGAATGGTATTGGTATGCTAATAACGTGCTTCTCCATATATTTTCACGTTAAAATAAAATAAAATGTCAATTATGTTATTTCTTGATTCAATACTAACTGAAAAAGTATTACAAATATATCATTTAGCTAAAACCTGATTTTATTCAGATCAATGTATATCTTAAAGGGATGTAAGAATAGTTTGGCCTAGGTCTTTACACAGCCATTATAATGCAATCTTGAACACATGAAGCTCTTCTTGGTTATACATTCGTATAATTATCCTTGAGATGCATATCTTCTATCGTTTTTTTTTTCAGATGAATGCCGTAAATATTGTACCGAACACTTTAGTGACCTGTTTCCGTCAGCTTAATTTGAACTGCAATTTCATATAAAAGAAAATGAATGTCTTCTTAACCCTTATTCTGTGAACTCGTATATAACTATATGTTTTTTCTCTTTTCAGTTGTTTCATTTTTGTAAGCGTACTACACCATGATGCATCCAATAAAGTATACGTTGTGTTGAATTTGTAAATTAATAAACGTTTCGTTTGCTTCAATATGCCATAATATAACGTTTACCATAGTAAAAACTGCTTTTGTCCAAGTAATTTGTTTTCTTGTTGACGACTCTGTCATGGATCTTAAAAAGTAATCTCAGTAGCGCTAATTAAAAGCGTTATGCAACGGGACGATTGAGATCTTATCGTTACTGATAACAACTAACCTGAAAAATTTGGTATACATAAACTATCTTAACAACAGAACTCTACTCATTGGGATATTACAAATATATTATTTTTATTTATATCTTAACAACATTTTGAATCGTTTCTGTAAACTTAGACCTACGCTTCGTTTGCAGTTTGTAGCTAAATGTTTCACATATTCATTAGAGTGGTCTAAATATTCATTGTTGATAGTTTTGTTTGTATTTGTTTCTATCGTCAATACACTTGACTCAGTTCATACTGACCTAATAGAATTAGTAAAATTCATTTATCAAGCATCACTTGAACTATATTTTTCTATTTTATTGCTTGAATTCAAACGTTACAAGTACAAATTCTGGTATCAATCTTTGGAAATCGAAATTTTAATCTAGTAAGGTGGGTTAAGTTATTTACTAAAAGTCATCTTACGAATACGTATTGAAATATCTATGATTTCTCTGTGAAATAAATATCCACTCCCCGGTTAAGTGCATTATTTTGTGTTAAGAATTCCGAAATGTAGAAATAAGTGTCCAAAATATCAGATTTATCTGACAGCTTCCTTCAGGTTAGGAGCTCTCGAAATTGCCTTTAGAGACTGGAAAAATGCTGAAAATACTTCCATCTATCAACATTCCTTAAAAATTACCACTAGAACTTTGAAAAACGACAAGTTGTATTGTTTTCCTCCGTTTAGTTAATTACCAATTTTATCTTGTTTTCCAGAAGCCTCTAGAATATCAAGGCCACGTAACATTATAAACACCCATATATTATGTATATAAACTAACCTTGAAAGTAAAACTTCTTCCATAATTCCGCTGTTTTGTTTTTTCATTTCGGGGTTCAAGAGTAGGTTTCTGGAGATAAGTGATTCAAGGTCCAAGTTTTCGAACACTAGACAAATCACGTTATGGTAAAAAGAGCATTTCTGTCTCGTTTCACTGTCTAAATTTAAAATAATTAGAAATAATGACATACCGAATTACCATCGAATTTTTGTCACGGTAGTAATGTGTGGTCCACTACATTAAGATAAAACACTGCTTTTGAACAGAAAATGAAAAAGGAATCAACTTCATTATTGTTAGGAGCCAGTTATACTATATGTCAGCCGTATTTCTATGTAGCAAGAACGAATATATTCGCACAACAAAATGGGAATTTTCTTGTGGTATCGTTACAGCGTAATTCCAATTTCACTCACCAGTTACTAAGTAGCGAGTTTATACTGAATTATTGCAGTTGCTGATAAGGAGTTAATTACGCTGTGTTTCTATTTATGTAGGTTGATACAAGAATGACTTGTCCAAATTAGATACCTAACAAATATGCTACTAAATAACTTAATGAATTGTCGGGATGTACCCAAATAAAGGAAACGTCTATGTGATTGGTTGCGTAAATGGGTAAATAGAATTGTAAGTACTATTAAGAGAAACTTGTTCCAGTTAGAGGTATGTCAAATATGGAGTATTATGCCAGATTCAGCATAATACTTTAAACGGGATAACTTAGCATTCAGTTTTTTCATATTTCAAAGAAGGTCCAAAGTAAACTGATCCGCATCCGAACAACTACTTCCGTTTCTTGACCACTCTTGGAAATATGGAAACTTTTATGCAAAGGCTGCTTCCTAACAGAATATGTCCTTCGAGAACAAGTACTGTTAAGAGCAGTATTTTATGTAATAATTCCATTGGCATTACATGAGTTTTACCATCACGTGGTTCTATGCACATTTTATCAAAAACATTGTCGTATTCAAGATAATTTCCTTCTGCGATTAAGCCGTTGAACTATACTGATGTAGTTTACTCAGATTTCATAGTGATTATAGTCGAATGGTAGATGCATTACTAACTTGTCGTTATATTTCAAAAACAAGATAGCTTTCCCAAATTGCATGTATATTTCAAAGTAATTATTTTTCAGATAGTGTCGAGACATATTTTCTCATTGAACTCCAGCGACGTTTTCAATTTTAGAATAAACAACCATGAATCTGGTACTTACTTTTACGCTTATTAATTTTCGCACATATAATCTTAGTTACTGAGCCTATCGCCTAGAATATGTAGAGTTCAAACATTACTCCGATTTCGTTTAATATTATTTTCAAATTTTAACTATCGTGATCCCCTTAATTTTGTTTTCGATATTTGGTTTTGTCTTTTATTCATTGATTGCTAATATCAGAAAAATAACTGCATTCATCATTCGTCGCTCAAGACCCACTTAATTCTATTTAGTCAATTTTATAGGCTTAAACTACTGGCGCAACTGAGTAATTTTATAATTGTCACTCTAAGTTATTTGAGAGATGTTTAGTCATCAGAAAATTGGATTCAGTTTTGAATTTCGTATTAAAGTCTTACGAATACGATCGTGAGATTTTTTGATAGCGGGACACCAGAATTTGAATAGTGTTTCATAACCCTACAATTAATTACTTATCAGATTTAAAGACAAACCAATTGTTTATTGCAATCAAACCTGAATTTTTGTCTCCAACTACCTTATTAGTCATCGACAATATGTCTACCTTATTAAACGTTTTGTATTAAAAAGGGCTGTAGTTTTCTTGTATGAGGTTATCATATCTTGATTGGCTAATCTGATTGTACTATCATATGGTTAGCTGTAGTGTAGTAATGCTCTTCATATCAAAATACAAACTAGTAGGATAGGGTCTGTAGTTATTCTCTTCCCACTTCAATTGATAAGAAATACTCTATATTCGTCTTTTTTTCTAGCTGTCTAAACGCAAAATTTTGCTTTATATCCAATCTGCTAATTGCAAATCAACAATAAGATTCGGACCTGTCACAGTATGATTGAGTAGCAATGTAGTTCCTAAAAACTTGGATTTCTGGTGGTTTTACGACTCTCATTAGTTCAGACCAAAAATCAACAATGTAAAATGAGATTTTTGAATCACTCCTGAATTGTTCCTTCTTAATCCAGGTATGTATATACATTCGATGATAATGAGGTAATATAGAGTGACTATTTAACTCAGTCAGTTTACTTTATTAGACTTATTTGTTAAATTCGACTCTATGTTTGCCTAAGAAAAGACCCAAGATGATACAAGTCGATTTTTTATAAGGATGAAAAACTGAAAGTTTGTGGAAATCCTTGAAGTTAAAGTTTTCAGTTTTATTTTGTGATTATCTTTTTTATTTGTACACTACATAATGCTCATCTACCAGCTAAACACTCATATTCCAAAAGTTATCATTAGTACCTGTGGTTTTGTTTAGAAAATTTTCTGGTTCACCGAGCAAACTTACTTCTCCATAAGGCACTATCTATCGACACTGTGAACGTTGTTATAAAATTTTAATCATAACCAATGTATGTAGAATGATTTTTCGAATTCTTAATCATTGATGTATTGATTGATCAAGAAACGATGTTTCGTCATAAGGTATGTCTTTAAGATATCCAAAAGTACTGCGATGAGTGTTGGAATTATAGGATACGTTAATTCGATTGCATAATAATCATTTAGCAACATTCTGGATATCCAAAGCCGAAATATATATACTTCAATACTATATATTGAAACACAAGAATATCTGTCATACGTTTAGTTTCGTGAGTTTTTTTATCGTACTTCTTAATGATATGATGTGATTCTTATTCTCCGAAACAGGAAATATGTCAACATTACGTTTCCAGTAGTCCTACTTGTTTTCGTGATATGCTTATCATATCATATATGAGTGATAAACACAATCCATTGTTTATAGCAGATTATTTATCCTTAACACGATATGGGACCTTGGTAACAACTTCGTAACGCCTTATTGTATTTTTAAATATGTTATGCTAGGATTGAATAGAAATCGTATTTAGGTACAAGAATAAAATATGTACACTAAAAATGTTAGAGTAAATGCAATGAATGGAATACAATAAGTGTGTATATATGGGATATCCGGAAATATTACAAAAATTAAGTTTTTAATGATATAGCGGCCATAAATTGTTTTAAACTATTTACTACTTAGTTGTAAATAAATTAATTTTGATAAATGTCACTGAACATATCTATAATGGTTACTATAACTTTTTCCATTAAGATTTTATAACTAGTTATTAGAAGAGGAAAAAACTACAATAAACGAAGCAATATGAAGTACCGACAGGTAAATTTTTGAAAATAATATCGTACACTATTTAACACTACTTTTATTACTAACGAAAATGAAGGAAGATTCATCTGAAAATTTAAAACAAACTTATTCAATCAGAAATTGAAGTTTCAAACTATATAGCAGAACAAGTCAACTTCCCATTAAATATGGATAATTAATGCAAGTAATACTGATTAAAGGCAAAAAATTGAAATTATAAGTTACCTGCTTTCCGTTGACACGATGGAGATCTAATTGAGCAAAGATTTATTAAGAGGAGTACATAAAAATTCTTGTTCATCAAAATATCAGCACAATGAAGGAATGATTTATGAGGTATGGAAAACAGTTTTCATTCATTATTTATCTTTCTATTTATGCTTAACAATCACTAAATAATAAAGCCAATAAAAACAATTGTAAAGTAAAAAGCATGCTGGAAAAACGAATCGACTATAACTATCTATTTTCGACATTGACGCTGGTTTTTTAACGCGTTGTGGTTCATTTGTTGGTAAAAGGGCATCCTTTTGTGTTGTATCTAAAGCTGTAAGTGCAGAATCATTGGTAACTAATTCGTAAAAAACACCCTTTGAAACTTTATCTGGTTTTCCGGACTTAATATTAGCCATTGACATTAAACCTGACTTTGTTAAGCGAACAGACATTTGAGGACTTGGTCTTTCTAGTACAGGGCTATTCTGAATGGCGAAAGCAGCAGCAGCTACCGAGTTGATGTATTCACCAACTTTCTCATTTGATCTGCTTGAAGCTGAGTATGCTGAGAGCGCAGATGGTCCCCTTTGTGCATATTGTAATTGGCAAGCAGAACACCACCTCGCTAGTTCACGTCTAACTAGCTTCCGAACTTCTACCTGCCATTCAGATACTTTTTGACGCCTAGCAAGATGAGAAGCGATCGCAAATTCAAGTAATACTCCAGAATTAAACGTTATGCATGCTATTGTCCAAATATCAATTGCTTTAATATACGATACCCTTGGAAGGGAACTTGCGTAACTGGTCGACTGAGTTATCACACCAAGTAACGTTAACAAACTTAAATTTACTCTGGCTGGAATCGCCTCTAAACTAACCCAAAAGTTTAGCCATGAAACAACCATTATGAGAATATTCGGTATATAGGTACTTGCCAACCAGTAACCTAACTGCCGTTGTAGCGTAAAAGTAGCGTTTAAACATGTGTATTGTCCAGTTGATGTGGAGTATCCGCTTGTGCAGTCATAAGCTCTGACCACTTCAGGTGGGTCAAACTCCGATATCTGCAAATTCTCCGGTAATGTGACAGGTGATATGTTTCTCCACACAAAGCTCACTTGCTCTAATGTATATCCATAACTTCCAATATTCATATCGCACTCCTGTGTATCCATAGGGAATGTCCGTAATTCCATCTGACAGGCCATTCGCATGGTGATCTTCTGACTGTACAATATTTCACCATTCGGTTGTATGCGTATTAGTAAGTTCTCACAAGTCATTTTATGTAATCGGCCTTCCTTACCATTTCGAAAGAACAAGTCTGGTAGCCATATTTTTTCTTTGAAAACTGGAGAAACAATGTTTTTTGTATAATGTTTGAATTTCTCAATTTGATCCCAAGCTAGTCTAGGATCATACCATGCTTGACGAAGTAACATATCAATAGTGTATTCCATATTACGTACATCCACAGACGTTATAGCTGATACAGATATATAAACTGTTACCACTGTTGTGTTACGAATAAGCTCTCCAGGGCGAACATGACTCTGATAATTAGCGAATAATGTTTCCACAATTTCATCTCGAATTGAACTAGCATCTAAAACTGCACATTTGCTGTCGTAAAATATGTATAATGGGCATAATATGAAATAGATTATTTGATGATTAAGAATATGCATTTGAAGATAATTATAAGAATTAAAATTAGTTCAGTCGAAAAGCTAATAAAGTTATGCTGCCTAAATAGTTAGGCCATGCAGCTCACATCAATTTTTGTTTTAGCCAGTTAAGACAGCCAATCGCTTTGATGACTACCTTTCGCTTTAAGTTGGCAAATCTAAACGATGATTTAATTTAGAGCATTTTGATTGGTTCATGAAACTAGGCCAGTTAACAGTAACCTTCTCACCTGTATAGTAAAATCATTACAACCACCATTCTGACTAGCCTAGAAAATAAATCTGAAAAATATTTCAAGTTCAGTCTGTGGTACTTTTAAAATGAACATCAAAAATCATAGACAGATATAATTCATTGTGAAAATGACGCTTTCTCAATTCCAACTTGGGCATTTAGTTAGCCTACCAAAATAAATATCTATTGTTTTATCAATCATTATTTTTAAATACTTATTTTACTCTGAAGAAACCACTTTTTCCGTCAGTTTTTAAAAGAAAATCGTTATTTTGTTGCTTGAAATCACTTGACTAGTTGAAGGTGTTTCATTATCAGAGTATGTCTTTTGAGTTCATCATCAGAGATACTTGGATTGCGTTTATCTGTGCTCTATATTGTCCATTCCATGGTACAAATGGTTTCAATAATTAAAAGGAATTATTTTTATCAGAAGGGGTTTGTGGAGATTTTAGAAACTTCACAGATTGAAATCATGAGTCAGTTGAAGCTAGACCACCATGGGAAACCTGGAAGCACTGGATGGCCGTCTAGTCCTAGTATGGGACTCCTCAGCAGTGCGCATCCACGATCCCGCATCCCGCGTGATTCGAACCCAGGAACTACTGGTTCCCCGCGCGAGCACTTAACCATTAGACCATTTTTGTCATAATTCAAGAAAGATGGAAGATTCTAAGCATACAGTGCCAAGTTAATTATAAATGCATCTAGCATATAATTCTAAAGACTGCTATTGAAAAGAATGACTCGTTAATTTCACTATTTATGACAGAAAAATATAGCTAGACCACTAGACTATCTGAACAAAAATACCTATTACCCTCGGTAATAGTAGTTTTACTTTTAAAGGAATTCGAAGTTTTTACGAAATCTAGACAACACTTATTCCAGTAAACTAAAACTAGATTTCTGAATTTCATCAACCTGATCGGTATTTGGAAAGGCTTAAGTGTGGTCAGTAAATAACAGTTTCAGAGGAATACTAATAATTCATTGAAGAACGTATGGAATATGTTTTACTTCTCAACAATTAGTGATATTTGTGGGAGTGTGCTTAAATGACAAATTCTGTGGCTGCTGCATCTCACCAACGAACTGTTCTATTTTGTATGTATTTAGACTCTGTTCCATTGTTTAGAGCATCAGTGAATGTCCATATGTTTTAATGAGCAGTATCAATGGGTTGGGTAAAGCCTCTATACTACCACTCTACCTCACTGTTCACTTTAGGCATATATTCCCAAACTTAACCGTAGATATTCCACAGTATAACTTAGAAATAGGATGTCCGTTGCATCAGCATCCTTTCGTTCTCTCAATCCGGACTTTTTTCAAAGTGACTTATCAATACTTTGATTTTCTCTCCATTATTTACATAGAATTGTAACTCAGGTAGATTGTCAAATACAATTCAGACATCTGTAGCTCGTACAGAAATTAATGCTGCTAACTGTCGGACTCGCAAAGCAAAATTTTCATCTGTTGTTTAGAGTTTTCTGATCGATGTAGTTTCCACCATAAATAATTCGTCAAGTGGAGCGAGCAATGTTCGTGAAATACATTCGGATATACTTGCCGGAATGCTAAAAAAGATAAAAACTCATTTTCATCCTGCCCAGTGGCATGCAGAAGGAAATCCTCCTTTCTTATAGTCGTCTTAGATTCAGAAGGCAGAGGTTATACATTCAATTAACCTGGATTTGATAGGAAGGGTCTGATGGTCACGTTTCACTGGGTTCATATCTGGAAGTTGTGCAGAAACTGCATTCGATAAACCGTCGGATAACCCTGCCACTATTGGTTATATTGTTTCTAGTAATGGGGCTGCTTAACCATTTATTCTACTGATTTATTTCCTCCTATTTACTCTAGCTTTACCTGAAATGTGATTGCCTTCCGTTAGCTGTTTTATATCAACATCATATTGCGTATAGCAGTGCGACCTACATTTCGCCGTATAACTTGAGAACGCATCTCCAAATCTTTGTGTCGTTATTCACTTTCACTCTTTTCTGAAGATAGCTATTTACAATCGAAACTTCAGGGTTCCTGTGAATTTATGTATTTTAGTCCCATTCAGATGAAGCAGATTAAACTATAACCTGGAATTTAGATTGTTGCCTTCTTATATAATTGCATCACTTTGAACTCTAATCAAATAATATATTTTAAAATAAATAGGTACTAATTTGTTTTATATACAATCACTTTCACTACAATTAATTAGTAGTAGTTTATAAATGCATGCACCAATCCAATCACAATTGACGGAGAAGATTTGGAAGATGTAAAAACCTTTACGTATTTGGGCAGCATCATTGATGAACAGGGTGGATCTGATGCAGATGTGAAGGCGCCTATCGGCAAAGCAAGAGCAGCATATTTACAACTGAGGGACATCTGGAACTCAAAGCAACTGTCAACCAACACCAAGGTCAGGATTTTCAATACAAATGTCAACACAGTTCTACTGTATGGGGCAGAAACCTGGAGAACTACAAAAGCCATCATCCAGAAAATACAGGTGTTTATTAACAGTTGTTTACGCAAAATACTTCAGATCCGTTGGCCGGACACTATTAGCAACAACGTACTGTGGGAGAGAACAAACCAGATCCCAGTGGAGGAAGAAATAAGGAAGAAGCGCTGGAAGTGGATAGGACACACATTGAGGAAAGCACCCAACTGCGTCACAAGACAAGCCCTCACATGGAATCCTGAAGGCCAAAGGAAAAGAGGAAGACCAAAGAACACACTACGCCGAGAAATAGAGATAGACATGAGAAAAATGAACAAGAATTGGATGGAACTAGAAAAGAAGGCCCAGGATAGAGTGAGTTGGAGAATGATGGTCAGCGGCCTATGCTCCATTTGGAGTAACAGGCGTAAGTAAGTAAAGTAAAGTAAGTTTATAAATAAATAAATAATATATTTGTAATATTCCAACGAGTAGAAAATTAGATTTTCTGACGTTTCGTGACTTAGTGTCAGTCACTTCTTCAGAGAATAAATAACCAAATTAATACTAATCCAAGTTTAATTAATTTGGTTATTTATTCTCCGAAGAAGTGACTGACACTAAATCACGAAACGTCAGAAAATCTAATTTTCTACTCGTTGGGATATTACAAATATATTATTTATTTATAACAATCTACCCAATGCTCAATTTATTCGAAAGTAGTAGTTTAGTTAACTATCTTTATTTTCCCTATCACTTACAACTGTACCGACTACCTAATTAAATCATTTTATAACGAATTAATAGTTATTTTCCATCTGCCCGCCTTTGTGAATCCCTTTTAATGCTCGCTATTGACTTATTATTTTAGTTCATTTAATATATTGGTGGCATCATTTTATAATTTTATAAAGTTTCTCTTTAACGCTTGCCTTTTGGGACTCGCGTGAATAGAGATTGGGTTTCATATATACATGTCTTCCTGAGTGATCAAAAGCCATTGATTAAAGCATCTCCACAACTGATGTTTTGTGTAGTTGTGACAGACATTTCTGACAACAAATAGTAAAGCATTTATGATTTTAAATTTACACATTATCTTGTTTTATCAATAATCATATTTATAAACCTCGCATAAACAATTGTGGAATTCACGTTTAGTTTTATCACCGATCAAAGTGTACTGGAAACAATTTTGACAAATTAGGTTATAATTGTCAAGGAAATGTTAATTTATTACACGTTACAGTCCGCCAAAACTGTATTCACCCATTTACCATCATGTATATATCTGCTTATATGGAGTTAAGTAGGTAGCTTGTTCACGAAGCAGTATTTGACAATACGTATTTTCTTTCACATCCCATTATTTTATTTTTTTCTTGTTTTGATCATCAAGTTATATGTGATCTTATTCTTTTTAACTCATTACACCCGAACTTGTCCCACTAAATTTTGCTGAGTTGATTCATTTTATGACTATTATTAAAATTGTTATTACTATTATTACATTATTTTAAGTTAATTGCCATTTATCATTTTCAGTAACCCTCCACCATTTGCCTAAATAAGGTCACATTAAAACTTTATATCTTGTCGCATGTCTTTGACATTCATGCTCTTAGATCCCCATATTTTCGAGTTACATTTACTCATTATTTTATACTACACAATAATATAAACTGTACTCCATGCATTCCATTCATTATGTTTGTAAATGTTCTGACAAATAAGATATGGTCATGTAGTGTGAGCTACTTATATTCATATAAGTAGTATATAACGTGCGTTAAAAGAACGTAATGTCCGGCAGCAGAAGATGGCGAAGATCAAGAAAGGAAGAGCAAGAGCACAATGGAATTGTAAGAAAACACATGTACAATGGAATGGAAGACAATGGATTAGTATTTGCAACGGGAAAAGTACAGTTTGATATGATGGAATGATATTTTGCAAATTGACGATTGACTTTATGGTATTCATATTTTACTGAGATAGTCTGTGCCAAACACAATCGATTGTCCCCACCCGTGATCTTGTTCCCTACAATCACACTAATTATTTTACATACATAAACTGATAGTAGTCCTACTGTGTCTGAATTTCATAAGATACCAACAAAATAGTGATTGCTTTAAATGTTTTAAAAATGATTGCTCATTATAACCATATACACCATTTTTCACTGAAAGAACGATTTAATAAATTGGCTTCGAATAATTTCTGTATACATTCTGTTTTGTTAAATTCAATGAAGTTTTGATTACACAACTTATGAAAATAAAGTCATCAACAAATTCCTTTTTAAATATGTATTTCATCTTTTACACAAGATTATGGAGTTAATAATTGTTATATCCTAAAGAAGAATAAACAAATGATAACTGATAGGGATTATTTATGAACTG